GCACATTCGCTCTAGTAACCGATGCTCGTCGGAGCGGTGCGTAGAAGTCGAAACCAGAACCAACGTCTTCATGAATCTCAACCGTGGCATAACCTTCCGATGAAAAACTGACGCAGGTGAACTGGACATGTAGAAAACAGAAAGGGAAACCATGCCGGGCCTATATCAAGCCACGTATTCCGAAAAAATGGCTTTAAAAAAGGGTCTACAGAACCAATCCGAATGACATCGCTTAATCCCTCTCATCAGCGCCGGGACTGCGACTCCTCTCACGACTCCTGCTGCGGCCTCGTCCACCACGACCACCGCCTCTTTGCCCGCCAGCCTTGCCTTTGTTCGAGGGAGGCGGCCGGACGAATGCATAGTCAACTTGAATTGTCTGGTCGAGCAACTTGGTTCCGTTCAAGTTCTTGATGGCTTCTGTAGCTTCGGGCAAAGTGGAATATTCGATCAAGGCGTATCCCTGTGGTAATTTACGATCAATATCACTCCATATCCCATCTTGATAACAGACGTATAAATAAACGGATGATGGAACCGAAGCGGAGCCAAATCCATGTAAATATCAACCTACCTTCACATAACCCGTCCGGCGATCAAGGTTCAAGTTGAAGTTTTTAATCTCTCCATACTCCGCAAACAGATCGGTCACATCTTCCTCTGATGCTTCTTCGTGGATGTTGGTGGCGATCACAATCCATCCTTCGATACTCCGCACTGCAACAGCCCCGGCCTGGGTTCGTGGCTCGAAGCCGCCGCCAGATTGCGCCGGGGCTTCCTCCTGCTCATGCGAAACTGGCGGATCTACTTCCATTTCTCCGGACATGGTGGCGTAAAGGGGGGTAAGAATTGGTAGAGGCTTGTATATCAAAAAGGCTGCCACGGGAAGAAAAGCACAAAGCGAGTTCCGGCTCGACGAAATCGTTCACAGTGCCTTGGGTCGCGAGAAGCTTGGGAGCGATCATTCATTGCCGGAGGTTAGCTCGCGGTGTGCTTATGTAAGCGCATTCTCAGCCCTGATCGATGGGAACTATGGCCAGAACACAGCAGCAATATATTTCTAAAATGTATGACTTGTACAGAAGTACTTTCATTTCTCACGGCAATAAAGAATGCTGTAGACTAACAAGTACTCTAAATATGTGATAAGAAGCAAAATTATCCCGATCAGAGACTCCCAATATGTCTTTCAACCAAAACTGATCATGCAGTACATTTTCAATGTCCATTGTAGGTTGAACAAAGATCTGTACAGTATATAATAACAACATTTTGAGATGCTATAACTGCGTATTTACTGTAGTATATAGAAGAGAGAAAGCAGAGGACAAATGGCTACTGTGTGCTCGTGGGAAAATAAAGCTCTCCAGGCATTGCTGGCAGGAAGCCGTAAAATTACACTTGGTCTGGGTAGCCCAGAATACTATGCAAAAATCAGATAAGTGTCAGGTTCTCCAGTGGCTACCATCAATACTAATGTGTGTAGCCTGCATCTTTCAGACAAAAACATATAGCTCTTGATTACCGACTAAAGCATACTAGTACCCGGTAAAAGCAGAGGAACAGAGTGCATTATCGTGAGGGCTCTAGTCCTCATTCACCAGGAGCTGGCGGAGTGGTCCTGTGTCCAGTCTCTTGCAAGCAATGAAAGAGTGAATAAAAGCCATCTGCCCTTCAGTCGACCCATGTTGTGTTTCTACTAGTAGTGATACCATCACACAATATGCTGCTTCACCAAGATCATCTTCAGGGCAGTATCCTCTTGTCCAAGAGAAAGGACACCCCCATTGAGATTCCCAGAGCCCAAAAGCCAAGATGCGCTGGTAAGCTTTGAATAATTGCCAGTCAAGACGTCTAAGCTCTGATAAATCCTCTTTTGCACGTCTAGTGACGATCCAAAATGTGGCTGTCAGCCTTATCTCAGGAAGAACAGAAAGGTTGAAGTAGTCTTGTACGGCGACCAGCCTGGCCAATTTCGTCCACTCAATCAGCAAGGCTCGAGTATCGATGTGATCTTTGACCCAGTTGGGGACGCCATGATCTTGCGCGAGATAATCAATGACCCAACGAGGAAGTACACGTTCTGGAATTTTAGTGTGCAACTCGACGCTGCAAACCTGCATTTCATGAACTTAGAAGGGCTCGCCGATGGCTCTCTGATACTCACCGTTCGGATACGAAGCTCAGCTTGTGCCGTGAGAGGTAGCATGATGTCGGTGAAGGAGAAGATTTCTGGATTTGCGCCTCCTCGTCTCGAAAGCAAATTGTATAACGACCTTTATCTGTGCGATTGGCCACGACAAACCCTTCAGTTATTCCTCCCAGAAGAGCGGCTGGTGGAATGGAAAACAGTAGCATTGATTCTCAAGTCCTTCGGAAGAATCACAGCAGACCAGTGGTCTGATATGGTATGGATGAAGGACAGGCCATCTGTTGCTGGTCTGAATTGGAGAACCATTGAGAAAGATATTAAGATCTTCAAGAACCGATTCGTCGTGCCGAAGGCTAAGGGGAAGCAGAAATATGCTATCGGTAAAGAATATGATATCACCTTACTGCAACAGGACTCTGCTATTGCCTGATCTACTTGGATCCTCGTGGTATCCCGCAAGTCAACCCATCATATCAAGCAGTCTGTACAGGTGCCCTGGAATTTGATATGGCTTTGTGACCCACAGTTACTAGGTGTGTGTATGCTAGACTTACAAACATAATCGTCACGAAATAACCCTCTGAAAAGTGACAGATCAAAGAGCATCGGGAAATTGTCATAACCCTTTAGCCGTTGTAGACATTTGCTTCACAAATATATAAGTCAATGACATGGGTAGGCTTAGGCTGTGGTATGGTCAAAAAAGACTAGATGCTTGTCTAAAACAGTATTTTGAGGGCGTTTTTCTAGGTGGCATAAGTATAAGTGTGAGTTGCACATACACGTCTTTCGATTCGAGCGAGAAAGTGGCTTCTACACAGAAAGTAATCAACTATACTCTTTCTGACGAAGTGAAGGCTGAACTACGCAATGCCTAAATGCCTCAAGTAACATCGGGAGCTCTGATTTTCTTTTCTTTTCAAATAAAAATTTATTTCTCAGGTGGAGCGGAGATACTACTTCCATCTCTAGACGTCTGAAAAGAAATCCAGATATCTTTGCTGTGACGTTATGCCAAATTGATTATAGAATCGGGTTGCCGACCCTGCGATTCAGCAGAAGTGGCTAAAGTGTCTCACAGAACGGGTTATACATGTGAGGCAGGCGATGAGCAGCTACCAAGCAGCTATCCCATCCGAATATAATACATAAGGAAGTCAACGAATTGCGAAAAAGCGAGACAGAATTGAATTCACTTTCCTCCAAGACCATTTCCCAGCGGCATGACTTCTGGTTGTCGAGTGAGATGACACTAACGTTTCATTTTGTGTCATTTGTGGCCTTGTCGTTGATCAGAGTTTGACCAGTTTAGTTAGACGTGTCTTGATGCTGTAGCTTATTTTCGGTTGTTGCGCTGCATGGCCAAAATCTGGACCATACGGATGAAGATGTTGATGAAGTCAAGCTCAAGGCTGATGCTCTCGTTGACAACATCCCTCCGGATAAGGCCCCTCTGAGCCATACGAGAGTGGTGCAGGACCTTCTGCACATCGTAGAGGGTGAAACCACCGAAGACCGCAAGACCTCCATACAGCCAGATCTTCTCAGACCACATCAAAGTGCGGGTGGCGGTAGCGGGGAGGACAAGAGGAGCGAGACCAGAAAGAGCAACGATGGTCACACCGGCGAGCAGGGGAGCACCAAGGTACAGGTACTTGTCCTGTTTAGCAGTAGCACCGACAAAAGCAATAGAGCCCATCATTCCAACAGTATAAAGACCAGCACGAGCAAGCAGAGCGGGGTGCATGAACATCAAAGGCGAGAGAAGGGCTGCCTGGGTGACGTTGAAAGCGGTCCAGAGACCGTACTTAGCCAAGTAGCTGGGTGTCTGTTAGACGGATTCTCTGCAATATAGACCAGATAGATAGGAGAATAAATACTTACTTGTCGGGAGAGGTGTAGTAAGTACCATACATGGTTCCGATGCTTCCAACCAGGCCTAGACCAGCGACAAGCCAAGGGTTCATGGCCATCAAACGGTAAGACCATCCGTTCATGTGCATAGCGCGAGCAGCAATACCGATAATAGCGATACCAAGTCCAGTGTGCATGAAAGTCTCGTTCAGGTAGCTGCGCTCGTAGGGAGCCATGCCACCATCCTCTCTAGTTTCGCGGTTGAAGATCATGTTGGTCGCCAGGATTGTTCCACCAACGATGGCGGCGCCATACAGCAGTCGCTGAGTGAGATTGCCACCCTGAGCGGCACCGTAGGTAGGTTGCATGTAGGTACGACGGAAGGCATTCTGGAAAGTCTGTCTAGATTTCGCAAAGATCGAGGAAGTAGCCGGGCCGAGTGGCTTGGATTGAGATGGCTTGAAAGGTGAGTTGTGGAAGAATCGAGCAGTGTTGGCAGTTTTAGGGACTTGACGCAGCGCCGATGGAACGGCGAATGGACGCCGTAAGAAGAACGCCATGGTTAGAATGGGATGGCGAAGTTGATGGTTGATGATGGCAGTTTAGCGTGGAAGGAGATGGCAGCTATTTAAAAGCCGCGGGCCGGTGATATCAGCCTTTCGGCCTTTTCCGGATTAGGAGTGTTTGCTACCTTTCCCTGGTGCTACGGCTACCCGAAAGTTCGAGAAGTGCAATCACGTGTGACTCACGGCTTAGTAACGGGCGTCGGTCGGCGATAACTAGCTTCCATTCTCCGGTATCATAGTGGGGGAGGGGGAAAAGAGCTACAGTTTTGCCGATACGGACATTGCATATCCCCGATTTTCTTATTCCCTTGATCTCCATTGCAAAGAGGTGGAAGTGGAACTACCTTTACCAATTGACCGTGATTCTCAACATCTACTGCTCCATTGTCGGCTGTTAGAGTGTCAACGCACATAATTATCAGCTCATCATGTCCTCAACATTAGAAACCATTAACCTGCCCCATCTCCCTTCTTCTCTGCCTGTGCATGTAGCTCTCTACCGGGACATTCAGAATGCCCCATTTCTTCGACAGCAGCTCATCTCCGGGAACTCGGACTTCGAATATGCGTTCATTGATGCAAGCATGGTATGGCATCGATGTCAAGAAAGCTCGCTAAAGAAATCAAGGACCCTGACCACGATATGCAGGTTCTCTCGAGAGCGCACGTTTCGTCCGCAATCTTCAGGGCAGTAAATGACTATCTCAATGAGCGTCTTAAGTCTCGTAATGTCCACTCGGAGATTGTTTTCTCGCTTAGTCCCACGAACAATGTGGGTGGATCTGTAGCTCATAATTCGACACCTCAAGCGCTAACAGTTTGCAGATTGCCGACTCCTTCCGGAAATTCGGTATCAGCGACTCAACGAAAGATCTGTTGGTGGTAAAGGTGTCTGTAACACCAGAAGTTACCCATGATGCAGTGGCGACACATCTGGCACGATCTGTCGAAGGCTCGCCTGTGCCCTTCAATGACGAGACTCTGTCTGAGATCGCGGATGTTGCTAAAATCAAGAAGGCCTACAAATTGGGAGCATTGCCTTCTGCCTCTGCGGGTCAAGTGAACGGTGCTGGAAACGGTGATAATATGCGACTCGAAAATTCCATCATCGGTGCGATTGCCTTGCGAGGGGCGACTTGATTGCTTGATGGTCTCCAAATTCCCACGTCGACCTAGAATCCATATAAATGACCTCAGGTTGAACGACTTCCAATACAATAGGCTCCATCTCGCCTGGTTGACTTCTTTCGCCGAGACTCTATGGGCAATGGTGCCGAGCGCATGCGGCCAAGCTGAGGTTAGTGGATGAGTACTCCACTAAAAACAAGTTTTGGCTCTCGCTCCTTTGATACAGGCACGAATGGCACTATGGCTCTGAGCAACATTCGTGTTCAAATATTATATTATCAATGACTGAATGGTGTATCGCCTCGGAACGCCTCGGTATATACTACACAACACTGAGAGCTGATTCCCCAATACTAAGACTTAGTATCTACCGAACATTTTTCAAGAATATACTAGATTCTTAAAACAGCCTTCAGTGACCGTTAAGAACCCCTCGTAGATCAAATACAAACGATTGCATGCATTCGCTGTAAGGAATCGGGAATACAGTCGGTTGCCCTGCCCACTGATAAATAAATCCCAAAGCGGCAATTCAGCAACTTGTGCCAAGACGAACCCCGTTCAAGCGTTCTCTCTCCAACAATTCATCGACAACATGACATACACCTCAACTGCAACTGCCGACATGGATTTTTAGTGACAAAGGATACGGAGAATTTGCGGGAGCTTCATATTGGTGGATTGTCTGCGCCCATGCCAATTGCCTGTTCCTACAAAGTACAACGAATTACCCTCTCGCCATCATGAGCGCCGCGGCGGACGTTATCGTCCTCTCATCCCCAGATTGCAGGCCCAAAGGTTCTCCAGTGCAGCCTGTTCATGATCCCGTGAAGTTGTTCGATTTGTCCCCGCCAAGTACATCTCCGTCTCCGGTACAATCACCATCAGAGTTATTTCAACTTTCTACGCGTTCCAGGTTTTTCGAGGTTGAAACCCCATCACGGAATAAGGAAAACAAGACACCCAAAGATCCACCTGCCAGACAGGTTCATGCCAGTTCGAAATCGAAAAGCGCCTCCTCAGAGGACAGGCCCAAGCGAAGGGGGAGGAAGCCCGCAAGTGAGTCGCAGACGGTACTCAGTGGTCCAGGACTCGCACACAAGGGCGCACCGAAGAAAACTACAGGTACCAGGACGAAGCGCGCGGATAACGAGGGCAAGCGTGGGAAAGCTGCGAACAAAACCATAACAGGGAGGGTTGCGAAGTCTGGCAATGCGCAGACGAAACCGCTCCAGGAGAAGATTATGGATGTGTCGACCTCGAAATCGTTATCGCAACCGGAACCTTCCAATGAGGCCGTTGGTCTGGAAAACGATGGGCTACAATTAGAAGCTGCTGTGAAGCGGAGAATTGATTGGACGCCCACTAAGGATACCACTGCGCAAATGGTAGGGTTGAGCCAGGAGGGAGTTGCAGAAGCCAACCCCAAAGGTTTTGGTAGCCTGTTATCTGAGTACGGCTTCAGCGATGTTTTTTCAGCTCGCAGTGATGTTAGGAGCTTTGGGAATGATGGTCCAACGAAACGTAGACGTATAGAGGTATGGCCTGTATTATCCTTCTCTCCCGGTGTTTCAAGCTAATACTTATACTCAAACAGCTTGTGGACTCCAGGTTATTTGGCTCATTGAAGCAAGTGTCGCATGATATCGACGATATAAACCTCACTAACGATAACCAGCGAGAACAACCAGAGCCTAAGCAAAAACAGAAGAGACAGACTAAGAAATTCACGAGCCTTACAGCTCGTGTAACAGCAAATTACCTCAATGATTCCCATGAAGGATCGGATTTGTCAAGCAAAGAAACCACTACTTCTCGAGAAAGTTCTGCAACTGCAAGAACTAAGGGCTCTAAAAGCAAAGGGAAAGCCATCTCAAAAACCAAAGAGCCTGAATTCATAGTGCTTTCACCTGAAGAAGCCACAAAGTCACTAGAAAACCAGGAACTCGTTTTTGGAACTTGTAGTCAGCTAGAGCGAGAGGATTCTCCGACCTCACTAAAGGAGCTACAGGCAGCCATCAGTGAGTCGGAGAGGTATGCTATGGCAGAGCCTTCCCCTCTGAGCTCAACCCTATGTGCAACACCCACATCACGTTTTACTACTGCAAGGGGTCTATGGTCTGTTGCAGCCAGAGATCTAGAAGGGTCATTGATTCGCCAGACGAAAGTTGTGGACTTGGTGGATACACCTGAGCCTGCTAAGATGACGACCTCGACCAACGATAACCGTAATGAAAAGGCATTGGAGGATGCAGCTATTGTCACTCTTGGAGAACCGTTGGATTTGTCCAGGAGTGAGGCTCCTAGGCTCAAAAATATCCCAGCTGCGAGAAAAGTGCCTTACCCGGTGCCTGGTATGCCCACAACGAAGGCTAGCGACAAACCTAAGGAAACAACCTCACAACCTTCTGAGCCACAACCTGAAATGCCGCATTACAGCGGCTTCGCCGATGCTAAATTATCGAAACAGGTCGCCTCGTACGGTTTCAAGCCCTTGAAGAACCGAAAGAAAATGATCGAGCTTCTCCAAAAATGCTGGGAGTCCAAGCATGGTAAAAGCACAACCTCAGAAACTCAGGCTGGCTCGCAAACCACATCTACAGAACCAACTCCCGAAATCACCTCTTCCGAATCCAAGACACCTCAGAAACAGCAATTCAAAACCACCGACTCGCGAAAGACAACCACAAAGTCCAAGATAGACCCCGACTCAAACGCACCTCCAAAGACAAAGTCCAGGAAAACACCATCAGCCAGCGACACTATCATAGCCTCAAGCACTCAATCAAAACGAAACCAAGCACCACCAACGCACTCCTTCATCAACGTCGAAGAAATCCAAGACTCAGAAGAAGAAACCCTACCTTCACCCTTCCGAACCCAAAACCGATATATACTCCAACCCCCCGAAACCAAACAAGCCTTACCCGTCTCAAAAACACTATGTAGCCCATCCCGCTCCAAACGCCGTACCAACAAGTCGACGACTAGTAACAGCGCAAATATTGATCAGAAACAACCAGAACTAACCGACCAGATCCTCAAAGCCATTCACGCACAGCCAGCCGGAACACCTAGCCGTCCGAGCTGGCACGAGAGAATCCTCCTGTACGACCCCATTATCCTCGAGGATTTTGCCGCCTGGTTGAACACCGAGGGTCTAGGCCTCATTGGCGAGGACCGGGAAGTCGGTACCGGTCTCTTGAGAAAATGGTGTGAGAGTCGGGGGATTTGTTGTTGCTATCGGTGAGCTTCCGAGCAGCAAACGTCAAATATATCATGCCTTGGTTTTGCCGCACTATATTTACCGTTTTTCCTTTCTGGAAGCCAATGTCTTGCATTGGAGGCGTTTTTTGGAGCAAACGTACGCAAAGCAGTGTTCTTGGGGGTGTGGAGGTTTTCCTGGAGTTTGGGATATATGTCATTGGAAATACCCTTTTATAGAGTTTTATACATGTTTATGAAGCAAAAAGGCCCACACAACCAAATATAATCTAGGTTGCTGCATATTCGCATGGATTTTATCTGTATTTCTGAGATTCCGAAGAATAGCCCCTCCTTACCCCCAACAGACTGACCGGACCTGACCATAAAACTACAGTAATATACAAGTAACCATCGAAATTAATTTGTACAGTAGAAATCATAGTAAAAGAAATAAGTATAAGCGATATAAAGTGAAAGAAAGATACAAGATCCCATACAAAAACCCCGCTCAAGATAACGCGAGAGGGGCACTAAAAGACCCCAGTCCAGATTCATTCCTCATATAATTCGTTGTCTTCTGCTGGCTGTTGCAAATTAGAAGAGGCATCCTCAGTCTGCGGGCTTTCGTAGACGTAGGATGAGTCAGGTTTAACCGGATGAGCTCCCTGGGCAATGACGTGTGCAGGAGGAGAAGTATAGTAACCTATCTGGTTGTTATGAAGTTGTTGGATCTGCAGCGGCGCAGGATATTGCGAGGGAAAGGTGTGCAAAGGCGGAAGCCCTTGGCCCAGTGGGGGATTGAAAACACTGTACTGGGGAGTGGGGAGTCCGTGAGGCATTCCGTCCATCTGACCGTCGAGGGGTTGGTGAAACCGCTCACGGTAAGAATTGACGGCTGTGTCTTGATGGAGGAGAGTATCTGGTTGGAGACGGCCAATTTGGGAGTAACTAGTCAGTGAAGCAAGTCCTTCTCCATTCTGTTGCGGATGATAGCTAGTAGCCGTTTGTGACGAGCCACTGGCAACGGTGTCTAGGCCAAGATGGCTCGATTGATTAGGACCCAAGCTTCCAGCTGCCGGAACTTGCGCGGTGCCTTTCCCGCTGTAGTCCCTGACATGTTCTGTGCCTCCGGGGTTTGGCCAGGAGGTATAGGTAGGAAAGGTCGGCAGAGGGGGAAACTGAATCTTTCCCCAAGAATAGTTTGCCCGGGAAGTATTTCTTGCAGGAATGTTGGGGAGAAGCGCACTAGGAGGTCTTACGCCATGTTTAAGCCATGCAACTTTGATGGCCCATGTTTTCCACTGGAAGAAAGAGACGAACATGTTAGCATGTCAAAATATGGTACGGAATCGTGCTTGTGCTCACAGCATCGAGTTGTTTTTCCAGCTCCTCGATTTTGTTCCTGTTATTCTGTTCGCCTCTTTTAAGACCATCAAGCTCCTCTTCCAGCGTTTGAATTTTTTCTTCCTGGTCCCTATTCCACCCGCGATAATGGGTGACTCCAGTGGATGCATTTGTTTCGCCGCACCATGAGTTTGACTTGACACAATTTGAACATTCCGTGTCCTTGTCACTATTGCATCTCGACTTGAATAGCTATTGTTTGGCAAGTCAGTAGGACAACGATAACAACATGGCGTCTAGATGCTGCTTGGCAGCGAGACGGAAATGAACTGGGTTATTTATGGATGAATGAGATGCGGGATCGATCGGCGCACTTACTCTGCAGTAATCACAAGCTGTAGGCGCTCTTGTGAGAGGCTCACGCTTTTTGAATTGATCTTCTTTAGGGGCCGAGCCATTTGGGTGTGCTGCTTTCAGCGCTTTCTCGTGCTTCTCTTTTGCCGCTAACCATTCGACCATCATTTTATTTTTTCTATTATGGTGATTGGTGAGGTAGGCATCTCTCCAATCAGATTTACCCTTATTTTGTGTAGGTTCATGATTTTTCCGAGCCTTTTTCTTTGGTGGCTTCCGCACAGTTTGTTGAGCTGTAGCATCTTCCGATTCTTGCAAGGCCTCCAACGCAGCCCTTGAGGGATCGGCAGCTTCCAAGGCAGTGGTTATAGCGGCATCACGATCTTCAAGTGGAGGTCTGGGTATGGTGGTTGTTGAGATTTCCTCAGGAACAACTGTAGCAGAAGGTATCTCAGCAGTCTCGACCTGTTGTGAGATTGCCTGTTCGACTAGTTCGGGGTTCGGGGGGCTAAGCTGTATGTTTTCGAAGAGCAACGCGTCGTCAACAGTATCTCCAGCATTGGGCATCAACAACTCGTCGTTGTCGTATCCCTGAAGGGCAGCCTCATCAAATCTCCGTTTGTTAGACATTTCAATTGGTGGGCAGTCCCAATTCGAAGAGGTGATGGGACAACAACTCAGAACTATCGGCACTTGCAAGAGTCTAATACTCAGAGCTGGTGGAAGATGCAGTGCAGCTTAAGTATAGGTGGCATGGGGTACTATAGGTAAGGACAGCACATGTTGTACACAGGATATTACCGTATATTTATGTTGATCTCTGTAGTTTTCGGTCCCCGCCTTCCTCGGTGAAGATTCCATTATCGATGTATTCCAAGGGACAAGGACAAACAGTATACAATGCACCGTACAATGTCATACAAGGCGTTCGCTGCGGAGGGCAATTTTAGTAACATCAAAGACTTTCACGCAGTCGCAAGATTTGAATGCCATTGTTCGGCATGGGTCATATGTGCAGGAGGTGGAAGGTATGCGCACAGTGTGGTTCAAAGGCATTGTAGGGTAATCTGAAACTGTACATTCCTGTATTTCGTCAACAGATGGTTCGGTCTTCCATAGGGTGAAAGGAGCCAAGGTCTCTCTTACCGCATTCAATAGTAGCGTCCGATGGCCCTTTGTTGCTGTACAAAGCAGTCTTTCGCAAAGAGAGGGAACCCTTGATTGCCAGAACGTAGAAAGATCGATCATTGTAAAACTATGGAGACCTCCGTGTCCTTAAAAAGTCTGCGGTTGCGTATAGTTGATCGATGTGGTGAATAAGCGGCGGTTCTATTCGGATACGTAGGTATATCCAATGTTTCCAAGAGAGAACAGAAGTAGGAGAGAGGATGAAACAGGAAAATGGCGAAGACGGTTCTAAGATACATACAGAGACGTTCCAAGAGAAACCATAAATTGATCAGCTCCAACATGCAATGTAAAAGCAAGCCGATCCTGGAGCAAGTTATGCTGCCAAATGCTCTCCCTTCAGAGTAAAACTCCTGCCATGCCCATATACCGTCGACAGAAATCGTGAAAAACATCCCGATCGAGAACAATGACACAAGAGTGGAGGAAACGAAGAGAGACGAATGCGCCCTGCACCAGCGCACTTCAAGAGACCCATGATGGCCATCAATCATGATAAGGCAAGAAACTGAAGGCCTTGAAGATGAAAAACAACTCCTGGGAACAGAACACCAAGGTAGACCCAGCGAATGCGACAGGAAAGAAGAATATAACGAAAGAAAAGGTAAATATTAAACAATAAGTTCTCGGATATGGGAGATGATATAAGGGCCAACTAGGCCATATTGCGCAGCAACAAGCGATGTGGAACCCATACGGATGGGCAAGAATTGTGCAGTCGTCATCGAAATACTTTACCATTTTGAGCCACTGTCTCGAAACTAATTCTGTTCTGATATTTCGAATGTCCACCATCTTCGAGCCAGGGTGTGAGATTCTTGCACTGGCTGACATCAAACGACTCCAACTGGTTACAGCCGTCAGCCACTGCCTCTACTCCCGCGCCCGTGACTCGAACGCAGCCACGAACCGATAGTCGATTCAGGTGCAGGAGATGAAGGCCAATGCTGCGCAGGGAAGGGTCGGAGATTGCAGAACCACAGAAAGACATATTCAAATAAGTCAACTGAGAACACTGAAGAGCAAGAACCTCTGTTGCTGTATCTGATAATGCGCAACAAAATGACTGTTCAAAGATTAGTGGATATTTATATCTCTTTGCGATAACCTCGAGGAAAGTTGGAACCCGACGCCTTACCAGATCCAATTCCTGTAGCTGCTTAGCAGCATTAGTCAAATAGACAATAGCTTGGTCGGTCAAATATGTGCAGTCGGCTAAACAAAGTTTCCGCAGATTGGTGAATCGCACATTCCCCCAATACTGAAATCCTTGATCCGTGATAGAGGTACAGCGAGTCAAATCCATTTGTTCGATCCTGTGAGCAGCATGGGACGCGATATGGTGCATTGACCGGTCGGTGACGTGTTTGCAGTATGACAGCGTCAATTTCGTCAGCTTGGGGCAGCCGAAGACAGCACCAGCTGCGGTTTGCATGGTGGGCTTAAGAACCCCTTTACTCGTCTTCACAGGCTCATCTTTGTGTTGTCCAGGCATGACCCAACCAATAATTCGAGCCAAGAGTGTGTCCCCGACTTTCCGGCAGTTGCTCAAGTCCACCTCTTGTAATCCATTTGCCGTGCTCGCCATGTCAAGGATGGCGGATGCAGTGACGTCCCAAACACTTTTCATCTTCCACGCGACGACGTTGGAACCGCATGTGGCAGTCAATTTATTGAATCCCTCATCGGTGATGTGAAAGCAATTGCTAATATCAACATAGCGGGGCCTATTCCCAACGAATGGACATATGATTTTCACTAACACGTCATCGGTTATTTGTCGATTATACATGCTTAGGTCCAGATCATGCAGCAAATCTGTGGATGTATTGATGATCTCTGACCAATGAAGGGAGACCGCGCGTACTCGAAAAAGATGATGAAGTTCTAGATGGCTGAAAATTCTCACCAAGATATTATCAGGAAGAACGCCGCGATTCACTTTCTGCGACTCGCGCTGCGTTTTTAGGGTTGTCGACACAGCAGCCTCGGGCAGTGTGAGAAACGACGAGCTTGTCGAACGTGGTTCAGATGGTGGTGACGGCCGTTGCTGTTCCCCAGAGACCTCCTCTGGTGTCAACGGAGCGACGGATCCGCGTCTACTTTTCAGTCGGACCTTGTCTAAGCCGACATTGAGGAATGGATCTGGGTCCGAAGGACGTAATACGGCTTGGTCATCCGCCTTGTTGGTATGCGGACCATCCAGTTCTGTTTCCGTGAGTGTGAGGAGGGGCATCGACCGGCGTCGCGATGCGCTGACTTTAAAGTTGCTATCTCCAACAAATTGTCCAACATCATCCGCTTCAGACATTACAACATCGCCATCGGCTGCCGATTGCAGCCGCTCTTTGGCAGTTTTCTCCACCTGCTGCCGAACATCAAGGGGGCACTTCTCCCAAAACTCGGCAAGGACATCGCCGCTAATCATAAGGCACTCAACTGCATTGATAGTACGCACTGTTGCAGTTCTGCGTGGCGCCAGAGAAAGACTTACAACCTCGCCAAAGTACTGTCCCGCTTTTAGCCGCGCTTTTACTTCAAAGCCCGGGTGTTCAATGGTGTTCGGCACGGAGTGTGAGGCATCGTTTGAGTGCGTACGTTCAGTCAATACTTCAACTTCGCCGCGAACGATAAAGTAGATCTCCCGCCCTTGGGAGTCCTGCTTGATAATGTCTGTGAAAGGAGGGTACGACCGGGGTTGGGCGTTAAGGCCTAAGAAATGAAGGATTTCCCCTGGAAGACCGGCGAACAAAGGTAATTCTTTAAGTAAAAGACGCACATTAACAAGTCCGTTAGCGAGTGCACTCGAAGAAACTCCATCCGCTAACCCAGGACTGGGGGATTTGCGTTTCTTGTTGACCGACTTCCAGTTTAACACCGTGCCCTCTTGCTCCGCAAGAGACATGTCTTTCGAAAAGGTTTCTCTCAGCCGTTTGTTTCCTCTGCGAGATACAATATCATCCAGTGGAGGCGCGGATGTCTCCTTCTTCTTCTTCTCCAAGAGCATCAGTCTTTCTTGAGCTTCATCTCGGATGGCTTGCTCCACATCTGGGAAGTGAGGAAGGATGTTCCTGAAGTCTTCCTTCGTTAATACAATCAACAGACATCTGGAGCGAGCGATAATAGTGGCGGTCCGCGGACGATCCATCAGCACACCTATTTCGCCAAAGAAGGCGCCTGGTTCAAGGTCTACATATACACTCTCGCCATCGCGGGAAGTAACGGAAACTGCGCCCCGGACCAGCCAATATATGGCCTTGGCCTCGTCCCCTTCCGTCAAGATATAATCATTTGCCTGATGAAGTTGGGGGCGCAGATGCTGTCCCACCGCGTTCAAAAAGGATTCCGGAGTAGATTGGAACAATGGGAAAGAGCGCAATCGGTCGACCAGATCCAGCGGGAGAGCTTGAATATGAGAGAAGGCCAAGGGAGAAGGGCGGACCGGACGATTGGGATTCATGACCGAATCGAATGAATGAATTAATGAGACTGTATCAGACACCGGCGCAAGGGCTTTGGTCGAGCCTCCGCCGGACCTGCCATGGCGCCGCATGATGAACTAATTGCGTTCCTCGCAGAAGCGTCAAACAGAATGGGGAATGGAGAGATGAAAATGTTCGGGAGTTTCCAGAGGTAGCATATAGTGTATTTTTTTTTTCGGGAAAGCAATACACGGACCGATGACGTCGACGAGAATTGGGGGGATCACGGGAGAGCTTCAGAATGGCATCTTCGGTCCACGGGGAGGGCGGGGAGGAAAAGAACGGAACCGTTTTGTCGTTTTAGGAGGGTTAAAGAGAGCCAAATGAATTATCCGAGACCCCGGGGAGTTTGAGACGACAATAGGACACAAGCCGAAAGTCCAGGGAATTTCTGGAAAAAGTAGCTAAAAGCGCACATAATGGTTAGAGAGAGGCAACCCACAGACCAGACAGAGAGCTTTCCGCCGAATACTAATTCATGAAAGCGGGGAATGGGATCACCGAATAAATGCTGTGGTTGAGCTCCACCGCGAACTTGGAACTTTCCGCCTGCCAGCAAAAAACTAAACCAACTCGAGCCAAGTGGTGCCCGCCTTATCATTTGTGATTCCCTCCGCTCTTTTACGTGCTCTTGTGGTGCACCCACTGCTGTTCAGTGAGGACTCACCACAAAAAAGGAACCAAGAATTTATACCAATATTGATAACCCCCAAGAAAAAGAAAGAAAGAAGGCTGGTTATTTTCTTTTCCTTAGCAAAACCCCAGAAGATATAGAATTGTGTCCCCCAGTCAACAGAGATGGAGGGAAGGTGTTGTGATAGGGAAAAGTAAAACCAAAACACATACCTTTACGCGACGAAAGTTGAGCTGTGTTAGTGGGGGGTTTTCACCACTGAAACACTAGAGACAGTGATCCGCAATTATTCAGAGCATGGAGTTTCATGACAAATCACCAGAATATCAGAGTATTCCTTCAGCTGGTGCCCCTCTCAATTGCAGGCACTTCGGTAGTCTAATGTACTCCGTACAAAGTACCCAGCTAACTATAAGAAAAGAAAACTGGATGAAGGGGAAGTAGGAGAGAACTGCGGGATTTTGGGTAAGTACTATCTTTATTAAACTTCCGCTGTAGGGAACAGGGAACTACCTACCACGGAGAGGTACAGTCTACAGGTGTTGGTTGGGGCCAGTGAGAATAAATGCATGCTGAAGATCGTCACCCAACCCATAAGACTCATTGGACCATTTTACTTATGCGGCTTGACATCGATTGAACAGCAGTTTGCTTGCTTTGCTTCCTGCATGCATTGCAAAGTATTAGTGGGAGGATCCTAGTATACAATCCCTACCTCCTATGGAGCCTCTTATGCGTTCTGAAAATTAGAATCTGGTAGGTCTTGAGGTTATTGGATACAATAATTTATGCACCCCTACCACTACACATTTCTGTACCGATTTAATTCTACTTTCTTGCTGTTTCCTCTACCAGTATGTATTCTAAAAGGGACACCTTCGCAAAAGCTTTCGTCTCCTATTGAATAACGAGATATTTTCCCTCTACTGTGGATTAATATTCGATATGACGGGGCAGCGCAGGGGCCACCCATTTCATCTGACAGCCCATACAATTTGTTACTGATACCTGAGGCAACAAAAGACCTTTTACCATTGGCGGTGGTTGGTACACCGCTTCTCCTCAATTACTACTAGTAGTAGCTTCCACACATTTAGGTACTACTAGTAGTAGGTAAAGTACCTAAGCTAAGTCTCCAAGTCTCCATGTTAGAAAAAAAAAAATTCTGACGTTGGAATTTAAGATCCGCTTTTCCCGTTTTCATGGTATCGCTGTTACGACGGTCAATGCATGAATACAGCCTCATCGCTATGCCACTAAAGGTTCGGTTCGAAGGGCTGTGGCAAGACCCCATCTCACGGTGCGGCAGCGACTATCTCTGGCCAAGTGAAAGCTAGGTGCGTGTAGGGAGAAGTGGAGAGTGTTTCGTTGGGTCGGTGCGTGGAGGCAGCGCTTGACCCAAAAGACCTTGCTGATTCAGAATCACTGCTTACAGCAGGGTTCTATATGGCTGCGGTCCATTGGTAGACGGGAAGCACGCCGGCGTGCATCAGATCCTGTCGACTCTAGACCAGTTAGAGTTAGGATGTTGGTACAAGAATCACAACTCCTTGGTCAAATAGGTCGAATCTTCATTCCGTCTTCGACCGGCGATTTCCCAGAAGGAAATTAACGTAAGCTGGTCGATTGCCCTTCAAAGATTCTAGCGCGTCCTGCATAATTCCGTACACCAGACTCAGCTTCAGCCCAAGTTTCGTCGTGCGAGCAGCAGTGTAAACATCGTGACGAGCTAAACACAGACGGTGCTTAGTACTTGCTTCCAGGTCAACTGTGTATCATCGACAAGAAACGAACCTAATAAACTATAGATGCCAGAGAATGACAACCCAGCTGTCACTGTAGACAAGAAGTCTCTCCGGTCATGCCGGGCATAATCCACTGTTTCTTCAAATAGACAGAAAGCGAGTGCACCGAAGCCTAGTTTTAATCCCATCTTCATTCCTTCTTTGACTCCCCCAACAATTGCCGTGTAGTTCTTCGTTTTGTGGTATTGGAACCATCCGGTCGATGTGGTGGGAAAGCGATGAGCGTTTTCGGCACGGAAGCGATATGCTGACTTTTTACTTCCATGAGATGATCCGATGACCATACCAACAGAAAAGGCCGACATGGCAGTGTAAGGCAGACGTCTTCCGACTTCAATTCCAAGTCTGGGGGGCGCATCCGATTCAAAGAGCTTATCCCAGTGGAGTATCTCCATCAATGTTGAGCCTCGAGGGTGCGCGTCTGACGATTGGTGGGGGTCCATAGTGACAAATGCACTTGATAAGAGTTTGTACTGTAACTGTTAATCGGATATAGTACAGTATTTAGAACAGATAATGCGTTATTCAAATCTCAGTGAAGCTGATTTCTCTGCGGCAACAATGCTTTAGCTACCTGCTATTGACTTTCCTGTTCTGTTTTCGGTCCGACTTAGCGCCGTCCTACTTTGCTTGGACCGTGACTTAGGTAAGGCTAGTTGTGGTAACTAGTTAACTAGTTACTAGTAGTTAACTTTGCTGTTTACCAAACAAAAAATAAAAATTGTATATCCAGATCGGAACTCGAACAGTATTGGGTGGTACTGCAATCAGGGGAAGAATGCTGCTTAGTGTAAGATCATTGCAATAACCACTGTATGATTCTGGTCTGGTGGACACTGGATAGTTAGTTAAGTAGTTAGTTGATTTAATTTGCTTACATAAATTCTGAAGTGTACAGAATAATTTACTTTTTGAGGATGCCTAAGTGGATATAGAATAAATTATAGTCAAAACAAGAAGAAACGAAGGGAAAATAAAGAATAATGTTGAGTTATATACTTTCTGACCGAATCACCGGATTTCCGTTTCCAGCTTGCGCTCATATCAAGTAACAGCACCATACACTCAAACCCAACCGAAAATAAATAGTATATATTAAACCCATGTTACATGGACTATACTTTACTCCGTACTATGTTCTCTAGTAAGCAGCGTCAACTAAGAAAACCCCCATAAGTATCTTATAAACTCTTCCTCGCCCTCCAGCATAGCCACTGCCATATCCAAACCTCTATGGTCCTAAACATGTGATAGGTTCACACCACTTAAAAGCGGGGTATCAGGGTCTCGTACCTTTTAAGAAGTTTAGAACATCGATGTATAGCTGTTTTACAGAGTACAGACTCGTTATATGCTAAGCCTATCAATCTGTTGCTCGCCAATAAACTAGAAGTGCGTCTGTGTTTAGAGACGCCTCAATTATGGTCACGTGATATCAATAAAGGCAACGGCCCCGTTTCGGGAAACCAAAGAGGTCAAGGTCTTAATGCACCTTTATCCTTTGCTTTGGAAATCGAGCGTGGGCTTACCTTATTTGTAATTTAAACAGCTCAGGAGACAACTCAAGGCCTGAGGGAAAAAAAGGACTTCTGGGGACCTACTAAACTTATCGATCGACAGCCAAAACAAAATTACATCATGGTAAGCTTGACTCTATGACTTGCTATCCGTGCGTGGAGGGTGAACACGATTTCGCTGACTTTGTATGGTGCTATAGTCACAGTCCGATCCTCTCAGTTGGACACTACTGTTCAAAAAGCACAAGATGACTGTGCTCCTGATGCTCCCGCCTTCCGCAACGATCCCAACCGCCCAAGCTACACTCCTCCGAGCCCTTCAATCACGCGGTCTAGCAGAAATTAATGGCGATCCGATACCTGAAAACTCATCAGATATTGAATTCGGTATCGCAGTAGACAGAAATGATCTGGGAAAGGGTTGGACGAAGCTAGAGTTTCAAACGCCGCAGTTTGATGAAGACGAAACACCAAAGCGAGGGGCGGGGAGGAGATCGATAGCCCCTCTGAGCTTACAAGCGGCTGAAATTAAAAATGGGCAACTGGTTGCTTTCAGGTTCCGGAAGCACGGAGAGGAAACTGAAACGACTGATGAGTTGATTGACCTCGAACTAGAGGACCCTGGTTGGGATGTTGTTCTTCCTAGTCTCGATGATGAAGAGGAGGAAAGTTGAAGTAGATCACACATTTCTCTAGCTTGATGAGTATCTTGTTTTGGTAGGATTTTCTTTACTCTATGGTTTTGGCGCAGGACTGGGGCGAGGTGCTGTTAGCCGGCGTTCATGATCTTTCACTGAGTGTTTGAGAATATACATTGACGACTTGACATGCACCCTTACAACCATCTGTATACAAGCAGTTAGAAGAGAATTTCGTGGTCAGTAGCCTGTAGCGCTTGCTTGTAGCAATCTACATTGCTTTCCTAGTGTGTAGTTCTGTGTAGATCATGTTGTCCTAAAGGGTTTTGTCTATCTACTTCCTAATAAACGCAGAACAACAGTCTTTTGAAGCCATGTCGGTGTGCTATAATACACGGTTGGATCGCCACTTCAGTAGATCATTGGGTGTCAATATGGGGTCAGCTTCTAATCGGCTAGGAAACAACCAATACCTAGGTATACACAAGGACCCTCAGAAGAGAAACAAAGATGGCAGAAGACTGACGCCAAGCACTAAAAATAGATCAAATAAGAAAATCTTCCATGTGACAAGCATCATCTGATTAGAAAAGTGATCAAGGGTTCTTTGATAGACTACTGGTACTAGTACTGCCCATTCTTGATCAAACAGAGTTGTACCACGAAATTGATTAGTTAGAATCGCGCGGCGTCATAGATTGCAAGGGATAGCTCCAAGTAAGATCGGACCAATCAGGATTAAAATTGTGCGTTGTGTTAGGAAGATTTCTATGTGGTGTTAGTGGATTACCGCAGGCAAGAACCAAAAGTTCCATGGTTCAGGGTTAAGGCCAAGGAACACAGGCATGCTATGAGCACGCACTAGCGGTCGTCTGGGGCAACGGTGAGTTGACACAACAAGCCCCCGTGTCAACAAGGCCCTCAAGTGGCTTGAAGCTCACACTAGCACCTCAGCGTAACTCAACAGGGGAAATTCTGGGGCTGCCAGGAAATAGGTCCACAGTCAACATTCTTCGTCGATGAGCTCGTTCTTCAATTTTTATCTCTTCGTCGCCTCATCGTTGTTTCGACACGCCGTCGGTGTAGGGCGCCGCTGGATATTTCGACAAACTGCCCTCTCTACGCTGATTATCTCGTCCCGAGACTCACTTTCCGCCTAGAGGGAGGTATCACCTCTTTCATTTCGATAAACAACAATATGGCGATTCCAAGTGACGCTTCATCTATTACTGTTGCAGTTAGAGTGAGGCCTTTCACAATCAGGGAGGCGGCACAAATTTCAAAATGTGAAGATGGGCCCCTCTTCCTTGGGGATGGCTCGTTGGCTGGAGCGCCAACGCCAAAACTCAACCAGAAGGGAATTCGATCGATTATAAAGGTTATCGATGATAGATGCCTGTGAGTGCAGTGCGAATCAGTCTCCGTTCCTTTGACAACAACAATTGACCGAGTTCTCTCAGAGTCTTTGACCCTCCGGAAGACAGCCCGGTACAGAAGTTCTCGAAAAGTGTTGTCCCCAACGGCAAGCGCGTTAAAGACCAGACATTCGCTTTCGACCGTATCTTTGACCAGAATGCCTCCCAAGGAGAGGTGTATGAAGCGACAACACGCACGCTCCTCGACAGCGTTCTTGATGGATACAACGCCACAGTCTTCGCATATGGTGCGACCGGATGTGGAAAAACTCATACAATTACCGGAACGGCCCAGCAACCTGGTATAATCTTTATGACTATGCAAGAGCTGTTTGAGCGTATCGACGAAAGATCGGGAGAAAAGGCGACAGAAATTTCTCTCTCGTACCTAGAAATCTACAACGAAACTATCCGTGACCTCCTCGTCCCTGGTGGTAGCAAAGGAGGCTTAATGCTGCGGGAAGACTCGAACAAATCGGTTTCAGTGTCCGGGCTGTCAAGCCATCACCCTCAAAGCGTGCAGCAGGTGATGGATATGATTATGAAGGGTAACGAGTGCCGCACGATGTCCCCGACAGAAGCCAACGCCACCTCTTCACGGTCACATGCAGTTCTTCAAATCAATATTGCCCAAAAGGATCGTAACGCTGATGTCAATGAACCTCACACAATGGCAACATTGAGCATTATTGATCTTGCTGGTAGTGAGCGTGCCAGTGCCACGAAGAACAGAGGTGAGAGATTGTTCGAGGGTGCTAATATTAACAAATCGCTCCTCGCGTTGGGTAGCTGCATCAACGCCCTCTGTGACCCTCGGAAGCGAAACCATGTTCCATACAGAAATTCGAAGCTTACTCGGCTCTTGAAGTTCTCACTGGGTGGAAATTGCAAAACAGTGATGATTGTCTGTGTTAGCCCATCCAGCCAGCATTTCGACGAGACCCAGAACACTTTGCGTTATGCCAACAGAGCGAAGAATATCCAAACTAAGGTTACAAGGAATGTGTTCAACGTTAACCGTCATGTTAAGGACTTCCTGGTGAAGATCGACGAACAAATGAATCTGATTAACGAACTTAAAGCTCAACAGAAGGACTACGAGAGAATCGCCATTGCAAAGTTTAAGAAACAGACCGAAAAGAAAGACGTAGTGGTCCGCGAAGGATTATCTCGTATTCGGAATGCTTATGAACACTCATTACCTGAGAGGCAGGAAAGGACCGCCAATATGATCAAATCCAGACAAGTTAGCCGCAGGATCGGTATGCTGTCTTCGTGGATTGCTGCTTTTGACAGTGTATGTGCAAGTTCCGAGAATGAGGAACCCTTAGCGAATCTCCAAGCCATTCGCAAAACGGCACAGGGTGTTCTCCTTGAGTTGGAAAGTAGTAGACAGCACTACCACCAGCGGCTAGCTAAGAGCACTTGGGACAGAGGCATAAACTCGGCAGTTGAGCACGCCGTTCGTCAACTCCAGGATTTTGGAATCAACGATAACAGTGACCTTGCCAACCTTCATCGCGAAGCAGAGCTCCTGAAATCAAACGCAGAGCGGGATGCATTTTCGGCGGTAGCAGAACAGGAGAAAGGAGGGGAAGCTGAAACCGTACAGCTGTTGCTTCAAGCTCAATTTGAGGCCATATCTGCAATTGAGGACATTATGCGAATGAACGAAGAGGAGGCCGTTGAGGCAGGCAAGAGTATCCTCTCCAAGATGCTCGACTCCTGCTCGGCTGTAACATCTAGTCTTGTGAAACCAGATGGCAGCTTGCCGCCAGCTCAGACATTCAGCCCTTCCAAGGCCATGTCCCCTAAGCCGAAGAAACGAGTGAGTCTTGCAGCACTCCCTGCTGGCAAGACTCTTGCTGCACCCATCAGCTTGGCACCGACAGCACCTGCCTCGCCCGGCAAGGGATCGCCCCGGCGCCGTAGGTTGGGTGCTGGCCGAAAGAGTGTCACATTCTCGCCCAAGAAGTCTCAGGCCAAGTCAACGAAACGAAGCGTACGTTGGAAGGATGACGAGCAAGACGGTTCTTTGGCCGAGTTTCAGAAGACGCCGCAAAAGCCGCGGGCGCAACTTTTCCCCGAAGGCCCTCAAGGCAGTCCCAACGAGCCCCCATTGCCTAGAACGTCACCCGTTCCGCGTGGCATTCCAGTGCCCAGTCGGAATATCAGCCCTTCGTATGGTTCTTCACCAGTTCCTGCTCCGCCGGAGCCAACGTTGCACGTCCCAAAGAACAACCGATTCAAAGCCGGCTTCCTCTCCAAGAAAACCAGCGGCTCACCAGTTGCGCCTCCTTCGACCTCGCTCCCTGCCTCAGACGGTGAACATTCTCCCCTCCGCAACATCGAGAACAGCAGCTTTCTGAACCGCGCACCGATTGACCGTCCCTCTAGGATCGCGGTTCGTACTTCGAGTGGAAGCTACACCAGCAGCCCCGCATCGGACAACAAGGAAAGCTGGAAGGCAAACAAAGACGATGCCATGCGGATCAGTTCGGCGATGAGGCGCATCTCCGGTGGACATTTTGGTGCTGGTGCTTCTGCTAATTCTCTTCGGGTTCATCGTCGCCGGAGTCCGGGTTCTGCAACTTATGGCAGTTCTCCGCCCGAAAACACCATGTTCACCGCGCAGGCAAGGAGAATGGCCAAGGGTGAGAAGGAGCACGAGGCCAAACCAGGGGTTTTGGGACCCCGGACTCTTCCCATTATGAAGAATACCGGACGACGGACTACTTTTGGAGGGGATATCCGGCCCCGAGACATTAGTCTCACCAGTAGGGACGCTATTCGACTCAGCGCTATGGCAACCCCCATTCTCCAAAGGTCCCCCGAGAGTCTCTATTCCAACTCTGGAGCAGGATGGAGGTGACATTAATTACTGATTCTGCATTTTTTGCATTGCATTCCGGGGAGGGTGTTTTACCAATACTTGGGAACGGTGTTTCGGAGAATAGATACCATTTGCTTTTTCTTAACTTATATTTTCGACGCCAACCATGAGGTCCGGTATCCGGGTTATACCGTTTCTCCTCGGTCAGTTGCGCTGAGAACTTCACCAAATGATTTGGAAACATGCTGGAGTTTCAATTTCTATTCGATGTTAAATTTTTTTCATTATGTTTCCTTTTTTTTTCTTCCTTTTTCCCTGTCTATGTGTATGGCATATAATGTTTCCGGAACGTGTACAATATCGGATGCGACGTTTGAAAGGGTTTTTAACAAATACGAAGCCAAGACCGTTGTCTCTACCTTAATCTATTTTCGGTCTCGACTTGGGTCTTTAAATTGAATAAATTAATTGGTACGTAGCCAGTCATTATGTCATTGCGCGAAATGACGCCACTGCAGAAACCCTCCGCAATCTGACAAATAAAGATATAGAATGAAATACATTCTTCCTCGCCATATTTCCTTCCAGTTCCAATGACTAATTAATTACCTAGATTGGTGCTGCCAGAAAGCTAGCTGGTTAATAGCATAATCAACGTTAAGCCTGAGAAGCTCAATTCTAAATTGACAGTCGGTGGGATACTATAAATCACATTCTCTGCCCTCGCAATAACTTTGCCGGTACCCCTCAGCGGAAACCTCGAGGCAAATTTATTTTGCGAAGCAAATTAACTGCCAGTGTTCAAGTATCACGTAAAAAATCCCACTTGAATGGCTTTCACCGCACCCGCGATTGGCTCGACCTTATTCTCACGAATTTTCCGTCCGTTCTCCACCAGCGCTCCGTTTCTCTCTTTAACACCTGAATCTGCATCGCGCAACATGTCCAACGACACGCAAGTTGCCACGCTGGCTGCTGGATGCTTCTGGGGCGTGGAGCACCTGTTCCGCAAGAACTTCGGTAATGGGAAAGGTCTCCTAGATGCGAAGGTTGGCTATTGCGGTGGATCGACGGCGTCGCCCTCGTATCGGGCTGTGTGCACCGGAGATACCGGCCGTAAGTATTGATTTCTATACTTCACTGCAGCCCATGTTCCTGAGGCTAATCAAGGATGATTCTTGCTTTGCTCTATGCTAGATGCCGAAGCGGTGCAGGTGACGTTTGATCCCTCCATCGTTACCTACCGTTCTCTTCTGGAATTCTTCTACCGCATGCACGACCCCACCACTCTGAACCGCCAGGGACCCGATATCGGCACTCAGTACCGTAGCGTCGTCTTCACCCACGGAGACGAGCAAGAGCAGATCGCCAAGGATGTATCAGAGAAGGTGAGCCAGGAGTGGTACAAACAGCCTCTCTCCACTGTCATTGTGCCTGCCGGCCAATGGTGGGATGCGGAGGAGTACCACCAGCTCTATCTGAACAAGAACCCAACGGGCTATGAATGCCCTGCTCAGTATGTTATAACCCGAGCTTTGATATATGCCTTCTTTTCTTGTGAGGAGGAGTCAAGAGCTAATGTTCCACGCAGCTTTGTGAGAAACTTCCCGCCTCTTTCTGCCTGACTGGAGGCGAAGATATGAGGCACGAACTTCGAGAATATGTCCGCCTTGGATGGTCTTGAGATGGTTTGGCTAGGCTAGTGCCGTCACTAAGACGTTTTACAAAATACCTGCTTTGTGAAAAGGCGCAGTTTGCCCAGGACAAGCTCGTTCGTTTCTGGCATGTGTATTGACGAGACCCGAGATGTGTAGTATCTATCTCTTAGATATCATTCAGATGTCTCACAGGGTGTGCCCATCATATTTTCATGGTATCCTAGTTCTTCGGAGAGTTATGTAGGAAGCGGGTGTGTCATATGGCAATATGCTGAATACTAAACGCAAGTACTACCTACAGACAGCCGTACATAGAAGGAGAGACGTTATTAAGTCAATGATTTCTCAAAAAATGCAATACATAGTTCTAACTACCCTCGAAGCGGGTGAGGAATATGCGGAGTTCGTTATCCAGCAGTGACTTTCCTGTTGTTGTGTTCTTTGTTTACTATGATATCAATTCACTCATTCAAGTATGGCCTCAGGTGACAATTCCCCTCTGTCCCAATGCAGACACACTGCCTTCTCTCTCTGTTCTTTTTGCCATCACTTTCTACCTTTTCCTTTCCCATCCTTTCACAAGGTATCACATTTCTTTCTCTCCCCCGTCGTTTATCGCCTACGCCCTGTTTCTTCGATTATCAGTACCAGAAGTGTTGCCTGTGAAGAGCATTTGCCTGGTGTTCTAACAGTTTAATAGACTGGCGACAACAGAGCAGAGAATTTTGAGCAGAAAGGCGTTTGACGCATTCTTTGTAGCGGACTAATTGTATCTCACACCCTTCCAATCCACCCCCTACCCGCGGCAGTTGCCTCCTTGGGATTTTTCATTGCCATCACTGCCTTTGTTTCTATACCTACCATTTTGTTACACTATCCCACAAGTATTTCCTCGACGTGTGCTCAACCTGAAGGCCAGTCGACAGAGCCTTAGGGAGGCTTTGAACGGTATGAGTCTCCATCGACCTTGTCGTACCCGCGCGTATCCGTCACTGATTCTGACCGCGCTGGTGAGAAGGAGCCCTCAGATACTCTTCCACAAACAGGAGTGCCTTCCAGGGCACTATCTCATCTATTGAGGCGGTTAGTATCAGCGGCTCCGTTATATCAGGTTGGGTCTCGTTATGATGGCAGGCTACTCTGTTGAGGCAGCCATGGCTGAGGCTTTGGGTCATCTTAACCGCATCGCATGTCATGTAAGCGTCTCTCACACTACTGATGAAATTATGGAAGCCATTACTGAGTGAACAAGTTCCGCAAGCATGAGCAGCATAGTGCTGCGAATGAGATTGGCAAACTAAGCATTATGATTGTCAATGTCTTCTCCGAAGCTGTTGAGCAGATTCCCACTAACGAGTTCGCTGATGTGGTAAGCTGCTCTATCAACATCTGGACACAGGATTAGTCTCAGTAACAGGCGCAGGCTACAAACTGCCAGAACACTGGGGTTAATCACAATATGATTCAGCGACAAGCTGTCGCGGCTCTCATGAACGAGGTCGAGAAGGAAAAAGACAGTGTCATCTGTCAATCCAGCACCTTGCAGAACATCCCGTCTGAAGCCCAGCTTCCAACGACTGGAAGCTGGGCTCAGGTCGCTGGTTCTACCTCTAGTCATCCAGTCCATCCTCAAGGGGTGGGCCAGTTTATGACTCCGTTGCCCTTGGGCCCAGCCTCTCTGTCCAAGCAGAGCTCGACCAATGACGAGAATAGTAATACTCGAGTGTCAGGAATCTCAGATGTCGCGCTTTCTGCGCCTATGTTTCCAGACATTCCAGAGGCTAAGGCAGGAGTCCTTCGTATCTACGGTAAAACCTCTAAAGAGATCATTCAGTATCTTACTACCCGTATCCACGAGGGTCCACTGCAGGACATTCGACTTGAAACCAATGGAAGGACGCGAGTGACCTTCCAGCATGCGTCTCAGGCGCTTGCTTTCCTGAAGTCTAACCAGGAGATGGAGCAAATGCTTGGCTACGGACGTTTTGGATGCGGCTACCGCGTTGAATTGGCCGAGATCATTGATTGGAATGACGACCATCGTCGGATGAACCAGCCCATTCGAGAGCGCCGTCGTCTGTCATTCGCGAGAAAGCGGCTCTTTGCCGACAATATGTCGCCAGAGAAGTGGAAGCAGGACATCCGTACTTTGGCTGGACCAGGGAATATTGATTTCCTCTGGGTCTTCAATTCTGGTAATGGTGAGTTAATAGCACAGAAACCAATAGGCCAAATCTCAGCTAATCGGGTGGTAGCAACGGCTGTCTTCACGAGTACAACCGTTGCTCGCAAGGTTTTGGAAGTGTTTAACCGATGGAAGGACGGCCGAAACGTTTACAGTGGGGTCTCCGTGACCTACTCGTCGGATCCATGCGAGAAAGAGTTAGTTTTGGTGAAAGACACCGCTCGCCCCAACATTGCCAAGAATTTTGTGAAAAGACCCGTTCGATAGATGCAGGGCTGCCGTTGAACGGATGGGCAGTGCTTCGAGCCCGTTTCATCCCAACTGCTTTAAAATGACATCACGTCAAGTCAAACGCGCGGGGAAATTCAAAGGAGAGAATTTCAAAGTTTTTTGCTTTATTTTTTTTAGAAAAAAAAGAAGAAAAAATTAAGGCAAGGAAAGCAAAGGGATAATCAACAAGGGTGAACTGTTTTCGGGGAGTTGGAGTTTTGTGGAATGTTGCGCAGGCGATTCGAGCAACGTGGTAAAAGGTACCACCCGATCTGAGCCGTAGGAATGGGATGGAAGCACGAGCGGGGTTGATTATACGCATGTACGGAAATGTCAGGTTGTTTTGAGATGGTCTCCTGTGGATGAGTTTGTTTTGGCCACCTGTGGTCCGACTCGCCTTGCACGCAAGCAAAGCCAGATACATGTTCCCTAGGCACTATCATGCATGCAAAGGGTTGGTCTCGACACAACTCACCATAGGGATGATTCATAAGTCGAACCTTCTACCTTGAGCAACGTGGTTGGTCGACGGTCCAGAACATACTGGTAGGTCAACCAAGGTTGGGGAGTGCGAGAGCGATATCGACAATAGCATTCAGAGGCCGCTGGCAGACACTCGAGCACTAACGATAGCTCATAGAAACCAAATACCATTCCAGTCTGTATTAGTGATGTGATATGAACCTTCACCATCCTTTTGATTTAGTCCCAGTGCGTCCTCATCCGAAAGACCCTCGTACTCAAATAAGTGACAGGGCTTCATATGGACACGGGACAGATGCCCCTTGCAGCAGCGAGCATTATTGCTGATATGGACCGAAAACGGCATTGATGCCAGGGGAACACGATCAGAGAAATCACAAATTTTCGTTATTTGTTTATTTATTCGGAAACTGCCGTAAACAGACAACGAGCATAGGGCACGATTATTTCAGAGTTGAAGCACGGAATTAAGGGATAGAGATAAGCACCACAGACACATGCCCATGATGTCAGAGCTGATGAAGCCCGGGAAAGTTGCCCCTGACTATCACTGTCAGCATTGTTGAATGATAGAATCTTGGACCCTGTCTGGTCCGTCCATGAATGTAGCGCTACGTATGGATGATCCGATGTACTAATGTAGGTACATACGGTAGTGGTCTATGCATCACGGGCTACCCCTGTTGGGCAGGTGAGAAAAGGAGAATGTTACTGGTAGCTGGGAGCAGCTATCAAACCCAATAAAGTTCAGTAGAGCAGGTTATCATTACTGTAATCAATTGGGCCAAGGTGCCAAGTTAACTTCCTGACTATTCCCCCATTATTAGCGGACTAGCTCTCTGGTTGGTATTGAGTAAAAGAAAAACCTCTCTGGCTGAGTTTTCTTTTTTTCTTTTTTTCTTTTTACATTTTCTTTTGTTTTATTATCAGTATTATTATTTGTGAAATCCCATTGCGCATTCGGTTCGCACATAACCCGGAGAACTTAGTTTCGTTATCTTTCGGTCCGAATGAACAACATGTTTTAAACATAATCTATTTGTGTAGCTGTCAGCTGAAACCGGCGGAGTTTAGTAGACAATGGCTTCCTTTTCAGAAATGATTTTTGCCTCCAAACAACGTCACACATTCCAACGGTGTCAGTGGCTATGTTAACATGTCCGGAGAAATTTCCTAAAATAATCCTAATTATAGAACCAAGTGGCCATTTTCCTTTTGTCATTTGATTCTCTCGCCATGGGAGACAGACATTTTTCCTTATCCAGCACAGCTGAATGACCAAGAACACCAAGAGCCCCTCGAAGGTTGGAGTACCGGACATAAATAGTCGGAAGAACCGTTAGGCTTCCTTGATTGGGAGGGTGTTCCACTGTGGTAGCCGGAGTAAGTAGTGCCCCCCCTATCTATCGAAAACTTCGGTGCACGGTTAGACAGTGGAGAGGTCAAACAAGAAAAATTGCCGCAGATTAAATTTGATTCTTGAGATAGATTAATGTGGTAACGTCTGACAGCCGTAAAATTACTCACACTTATCTTTGGGACGGAGGATGAAATCGGCGTCTTCTTTCCCGGAGAGAGAGAGAGAGAGAGTGGGGGGATTATAGTAATCAGGTGATATCGATGCCCTGATTCGAATTGGAGTTGCCTGAAGACAAAAGATCCACGCGCCCTGCGTAGGGGAAACCATCATTGGCCCTGAAGGGGCTCCTGCAAACCAACGACGGTGATTGGAGTAAGACATGTTTAATTTGTGAGCAGAAGAATCAGTATGGAAGCCCAGTGCATGCGAGTGTCCACAAACTACTAGTACTAGGAGTTAGTGTGGCTGTCTTGTCCGGACCTGCCAATCGGCAGCTTTTTCCCGATAAGAAGAACCCCCATTGAGTTTTTTTCCCATGGCGGTGGGTCCGTTCCCGAGAAGGGTTCAGTTCAGGTTCAGTTCAGGTTCGAATTCAGGGCTCTTTCTTTTGGGTGGTTTTTTCGTTATTTATTTATCCATTTATTTATTTATTTATTTATTACTTTCTTTCTTTGGTGGTATGCACGGGACTCGAGACAAGAACAACAACCTTCGTCAATGGCCTGGAAGTACCATACGTATCGTCAGTACCGTATGTAACGTTCACTTCCTGGTTCCCCAATTGACGATTCCGGAGATGTCGACTTGGTCTTTGTATAACATTCCGGTGGCTGTAGGGAATAGTTTCTTATCTTTTTTAGATCTGTCAAGATCTAGCAAACAAGAAATCGTCAGAAGAGTCCGAAGTTTGGCATCTTCTGGACGTCTTCTTGGGATCCATTCCTTGGTCTGAATGGTAGGCAATGGACTAATCCGGTGACCGTGCCACCCACCCATCAAATCAATCGTGGGGAAAAGGTTCATCGTCTCGTGGTTCCTCCGTATTAATGGAAACGGCAATTACTTTCCCTTGTAGTGGTACCTGCAATACAAGTCCAAAGTCACTGGGACGGACCACTAGTGACATGGATTCATTTAAAGAACTTCCACCCCCGATCGACCTCTCCAGGCCCCTCCCTTTCCCTATCTTTTCGCCGACCCTTTCTTGTCTTCAAGGATCCTTACTTGTCGACTCGTTTGGTGTTAAATCCCCCTTCAACGAGGACCCACGGAGATCTCGTTCCTGACCAGTTTCCCTCGTTTACTGAACTCCTTTCCTCCTCTCGGCGACGATTTTGTCCCGCGGTCCTTCATTAACTGGTGTGTCCGTTGATTGGGTCTCGATCCTCATCTATTGTCCAATAATTTGTTGGCCCTGCGATAGGTCTTATTTAATTGATTCCGCTCTTTCTTCGACCCCGTACAAGTTCGGTACGTTCCCTCGCTTTTCCCACTGTTTCTCTCTTTTTTTTCTCTGGGGTTCGATCTATATTCTCTGGTACCGATAAGCTCCGGCGACGAGGGCGAAAAAAAAAGCCAAGGGAAATTGTCAACAGGACTGGTGGCTAACGCCCACATTGTAGTGCAAGCTGCAGTCTCCTGTATAAACGTCGCACATCGCTGCATTCCCTTGTCACTGTAACTATATTCTCGGCATTATGGTTCGCTTCGTTTCTTCTCTGCTCCTGGCCTCTTTGGCCTCCACATTCGCTTGGGCCGACACTATCAAGTGCGACGCCAATAACAAATGTCCGGAGAAATACCCTTGCTGCTCTCGTGAGTTCTCTTCCCGATTCGAAAATAGTGTAACGCTCGTGCTGACGTTTCTCCGTTAGAATATGGTGAGTGTGGAACCGGCGCCTATTGTCTCGGCGGTTGTGATCCCATGCAGTCGTTCAGTCTTGATTCCTGCATGGCCGAGCCGGTTTGCAAAAGCAAGACCTACAAGTGGGACAACCTCGACAGTGCTGCGCTGAACACCAAGTATCTTGGTAACGCGTCGGCGTCCGACTGGGTCTACAGCGGCTTCCCCAAGGTGGAGGATGGCAACCTGATCCTCACCATGCCGAAGAACAGCGTGGGCACTTTGTTCGCAAACAACCACTACGTCTGGTATGGTAAGATCAAGGGTAAGGTAAAGAGTAGCCGTGGCAAAGGTGTCGTGTCTGCTTTTATCTTGCTTTCGGACGTCAAGGATGAAATTGATTTCGAGTTCGTCGGCTACGACTTGGATAACGTCCAAACCAACTACTACTGGCAGGGCGTCCTCGACTGTAAGTGATTCCTCTGCCCCCAACGTTGGAATAGCTGACGCTCACGCTTTTGCTCAGACAACAATGGCGGAAAGGCACCCGCAGGCAGCAGCACGTTCGATGACTGGCATGAGTATGAAATTGACTGGAAGCCCGAGGCCATCACCTGGTCAGTTGACGGAAACGTCAAGCGGACGTTGACCCGGGAATCCACCTGGAATGAGACTGCCAAGCGCTACCAGTTCCCTCAGACCCCCTCGAGAATGCAGTTGTCTCTGTGGCCCGCCGGTCAGGCAAGCAACGCAGAAGGTACTATTGAGTGGGCCGGTGGTGAGATCGACTGGGACAGCGAGGACATCAAGAACAAGGGCTACTACTCTGCGGAATTCGGAGAGATCACTGTTGAATGCTATGACCCTCCGTCGAACTCGGGAGATGGCAAGAAATCGTACGTCCTCACCAACAAGGACGGTCTTGAGGGCTCCTTCAAGCTCACCAACAACGACACTGTGCTCGCCTCTCTTGGTGCGACCGGTCTCGACCCCGATCTCGGCGCCAGCTCCTCTTCGTCCTCGTCTTCGAGCTCGTCCACTGGTAACAGCGTTCCTGAAAACCGCGGCGGCTCCGGTAATGAGCCTGGTGCAAGTGGCTCCAACAGCACCAGCGGTAGTGGCAGTGGCAGTGGCAGCGGCAGCGGCAGCAGCGGCGGCAGCAGCGGCGGCAGCAGTGATTCTGGATTCAGCCAGGGAAGCAACGATGACAGCAACAACAGCAACAACTCGAATGGGGCCGCCTCTGCGAATGAGCGTGTCATGAAGGGTTCCTTCTTCGCCGTCTTGGTCGCTGTCGTCGTGCTGGTTACCCTATGAACCAGTGACTATTAATCCGGGCCCTTGCCTTCATTCTTGAATATTCTTCTCTTCTCTTCTTTTCTTTTCTTGGGTATATAACAACACTTACCCCCCCATGCCATACCCACGCGGTTTTGGTGTGTCCTGTTAAATTTACCTTCTATACATGGCGGTCCCTCTACATGTCTGTCGCCTTATACCAGTTAACTACTTTATCCTGATTGGACGTCTTGATGCTTTTAATGATCGCGCGTGGCGATGCCGCAAATGACGCATTGCATGCCGTTTGATACTCATTCTAATACCCTTGTTTGTGTTTTGATGCTAGTATATGTATTGTTAATTGATTGGCTCGGTGTCGATGAGTATCGGATCAATGAATATAATTTTTTTTCACGGCATTCCACTGTTATTGTAACACATCTGCATATTTCCTTGGCATTGCTGTGCTTTATATTTCCCTTCAACGATAGCACTGCTTTTACAAAGCGCCTTCAGCGACAATCACGGCAGAACCTTTATTCCTGACCACAACAACGAACACAAATCTCACCTATTGTTCTCCTACACTCATGCTGAACATAGTCCATCCAACAATTCCAAATAACAAGACACACAAAAACCATACCCACCAGAACTCCAAATACAAGCTGAATCCTACTCAATCCCTCCGCATCTCCCAAACTCCCCACATCTTTGCCTATCTATCCAATCTCCCACCATCCACACACTACCCACCCAACAAACCAAGCAACACAACCCTCCAAAGAACAGAACTAAACACCACCATCAACAAAGAAACCCCTTAAGAAAAGGAAATAAAATCAAGGAGAAATAATGTGCTACTACATCCGAATCTCCTACCTGGACTGTCCACACACGAAGTTCGAAATCGATCAACTGTGCTATCTCGTCCTGGACCAGCTTCAGCGGATCTATGATTCCCGGGAATCGGAGGATTATGTGCCTTTTGATGTCCCCGATTGTTGTCCTGATGGGGTGGATTGGGCGCTTGGGGGGAATGTAAAGGGTGAGAGGGTTGATGAGGGGGGTTGTTTCGGGTGTTTGGGGGGGTGGTAGTTGGTTTTTATTTATTTTATTTTATTTTATTTTTTGGGGGTAAACGCTGTATATGAGTTTTCCATTTTTTTTTGGTCGTTCTTTTTGAGGGTACTTATAGACGGGTGTTGGTTTGGTGCTTTGTTAGGGTTAATTGCAATACGGAGATTCATACGATCTATTTGAATACATGGATGGCCATTGCTGCTACTTGTCGGTTACAGTGAGCTCGTATATCGAATCGCAAATCATGGAGACATGATTCTTTTCACAATTTCACTAAACAGTATATCTATAGCAAAAGCCGAAACCAACATATATAGAACCGTAGATTAAGCCCAGAACGCCAATTCATAGATCGCTAGATGGATCGTAGTATCTCAATGCAGCTCGCCGCAGCCACATTCCCTCGTATCCAGGTCCATGGAGCGCTTCTTGAATTCTCCATGGTAGGTATCCAAGCCCTCCGTGCGGACAGCTTCGCCCAAGGGGTCTCCCAACCAGCTGAGAGATGTGAAGATGGAGGGGTCGATTTCAGGCTTCCATGCCCACTCGCTAGGAGTTTGGAGTCGTTTGGTGACATCTTCAACGTCTACTTCGAGGTAGTCGGAGAGGAAGGCTCCGACGTCTGTGTTCTCGTTGTTGCCCACCAGACGCCAAGCGTCCTTGGTGGAGGAGGCGTAGATGTTCACGTCGACGGCTAAACCATGTGTTGTTAGCTTATACAATTACTAACGAGAAAATAAGGGGGGGGGAACATACATGAATGTCCATGTGTGGACCAACCGATCTGGGCCCTACGGCTGATGATATCGGCAAACACGTAGTCAGCCTTGTAAGGCAGCTTGGGATCAAGAAGATGGTCAATTTCCTCATCCGTCGCATCGCCAACGCCCAGGGATTTCTCCAAGAGTTCGCGAGCGAATTTGCGTTGAGACTTGGCATCCGGATTCTTAGAGAGGTATTCCTTGAGCGCCGCGCCGGCAAACTCAGAGGAATGGCTGGCGTTGGCCAGGACGCCTGGCAGCCATTTGTACTCCGGATAATCGTCATGCAGCTGTCGAGCCGCGGCCAGACCGCCCGTTTCGTGGTCGGAGGTACTGACCACCACTCCTGGGGTAGAATCTTGCTCCAGGAACTCAAGGACGGCTGCGAAGGCCCGGTCATAAGCTAGGACTTCATGGACCTGTGCTGCGGGGTCGTTTCCGTGTCCGGCGTGGTCGATGCGGGAGCCTTCGATCAGAATGAAGAAGCCCTTGTCGCTGTCCGCGGTGGCTTGGCTGAGGGTCTTGAGTGCGGTGCGAGTCATTTCTTCCAGGGATGGGTACACACCATCCTGGCTGCGGCGGTCGATTTCGTAGGGGATGTCCTTCTCCGCGAAAAGACCCAGGAGCGGCAGCTTGGCTTCCGAGCCGCCGTTTAGGGCATCGAAGGCCTTCCGGTCGTCCAGGTAGTGGAAGCCCTTCTGGCCTGCGATCTCTACCAAGTCCCGATCATCGCCACGGCAGCTACCTTCTGTTGAGTTGGGGAGGAAATGGCAGCGTCCACCACCGAACATCAAATCCACCACCCGGCCTAGCGGGTGCTCGCCGATCTCCTGCTCCGCGATACGGTCCTCATATTGGCGAAGGTTGACATGCGAAGCAAAACAGGCAGGGGTAGCATCCGTAATCCGAGTGGTGACAACCAAACCGGTCTTATAACCAGCCAAGGCAGCAGCCTCAAGCACAGTTCCACAAGGCGAGTGGTCAGGCAGCACGGAGATAGCTCCATTGTAGCTCTTATGGGCGCATGAGAAGGCAGTAGCACCGGCCGCCGAATCGGTGACAAGGCTGTTGCTGGACCTCGTCCTGGAAGTGCCAATAATGTGGTCATCCAGCACCAGTGTCTGGTCTACGGGCAGTCCCTCCGTGAATTGTCTATAGTTTCTAGTCATAGTCAAGCTAGTGGGTCCCATTCCGTCGGAGACCATGAAGATCAAGTTCCGCTTGCCGGCCGGCTTGCCTCCGGGGCCCCAGGGCTCCTTCGCGTTATGGTTCTTGCTCGTCTCATGTTGGTAAACCACGGCGAGGACTATCACGGCGATCGTAGCAATGAACGCCCAAGAGAAGAGACCGACGTCTTTCCAGAAGGCCCATTTGCTGCGTTGCTGTTCGCGGTGGGTGCGCTCGCCTGTTAGTAAGGCGTCCTCCTCTTCTGCATTCCGAATCGAGGAGTGGTCGGACGAAGGGCGCGGAGCCAAAAGGGGCTCATCTCGCGCCATGGCTGACGGACTGCCTTCGGAGATCGACTTAGGGGATTAATTGCAATGGAAAGGGATCATGGACATCGGATAGCGGGTCTATGAGAGTGAGGAGAAAGGGAGACGGTGAGGAGAGATCGATTCAGATGAGTTGGGGTATGGGCTTGGCACGGGACTTTGATACGTCACGTTGCCCAGGACCTGAAACTGCCGTATTCAGTTAGTCTCCTGCATACCTAAGTCGAACTATTGGTAGATCATTACGGAAGTCGACGGGGGGGAGGATTCATGAGCGTAGAGAGTATTAGTACTCCGTACAAGACATATAATATTACACAATCCTAAAGATTTATACAGCGGTACGAGATCCCTCCGAAGAAGAGCATCTACCGTCCCTTCCACCCGATTGGAATCATAGCCGCCGCGATCTCAGACACTCCTCTTTCAGTCGCAAGCAGATTGAACTGCGCAGCGGCATTCCTAGTATCCAGAACCTCAACCCGAACACCCAAGGAATTGATTTGTCTCCTTGTCTCAGGGGAAAGAGGAAACACAGACGCACCCATCCCAATAATCAAGAGGTCTGCCCGTAGCATTCAATTAGCAAAAGCTTCCCTCAAGAGGACGAACAGAGATAAAGTATAACACTTACCCGGACGAGGCCATACGAGTCCCAAAAGGCCCCAGGCTTGTTCGTCAACCTCAAACTGGCCCTTCTTGTTCACCATAGCATTCTTTCCCCCATCCACCGCTGTCCACGGCCTCCATGAGAAAGCTTCGCCTCCAACAAGCAACAGACCATCACCGTTTGTGAGCTTGAGGCCATTATCCAAATGGAATCCATTGTCCAGGCAAGCATCGATAGCGGTAGTAGGTGCTGGGATGTTGCCGAGCACATTCAGCGCAGCAAAGTCCGTTTGCGTATCCTCTGTTGACTGCGGGCCCCGATCGCGGCTTGCTGGTTTCGCGGTGTGCGCGCGAGGAACCATCCGTACGGGGCGGGCATGGTTACTGTTGTTGCGGTATGTTTGTACATAGGGGGTAATTCGAGAGATGGGAGGTACTGAGCGGACGTTTGTGCATAGTCGATTGGTGACATTGGGAGCCGAAATGGATGTGCGCAAAGCACGGAGTAGTTGGGGTGATGGAGGGTGCATTGTGATGATGATGTGGATATGGTTGATATCTGGGAGTTGATCGGTCTTGGCCAGTCGAGTCAGGACCCAGTTGTAGGGATCTGATCAAGAGATCAAGAGCGAAATAATGCGAGTGGAGATGGAGATTTAATCTGGAGTTGCGATGATCGATAGCCCGTGATGTAAACGCTAGCTGACAGCCTCAGGCAACAAAAGCTGAGTAAGTCCTAACAAGATCGACCATCATTGGTCCATTCAAGTCAAGCACCGAGTACTATGTACGCCATCATCCATTTTCCAACATTATACCTTGGAAATTAGCATGGCAAATTGCAAAAGAAACCAATACTTGCCTCAAGTGCATCTATTGTCAAGCCCTCGTCGAGCTAAGCCTGGCTAGATCCGTGTGGGGATATCAGCCTCTATATCTAAAGCAGATGTTTCTCACCAGATACCCGCAGAAGTATTCACAAAAATTGACACCAAAAAACACTATCATGCTGCTATAGAAGCTTTTTCATCTGTTCCTTAAGCCTTTTATTACAATGCTGCCGCAGAAGCGCCTCCTCTTGTTTGAACGTCCAGTCATAAATCTGGTCGTCTTTGAACCCTTCACGCTGAAACAGTTTCCGGAAATTCTCACGCAAATAGGCGTAGTCAGGCGTCGCCTTCAAAAAGATATGCAGGAAGTATAAATTGAACGCTGGCGGCAGGTCTTTGCAAAGCGTTTTGATACGTATATTGCGCTTCATCTCAGCCACAGCTATCTGTCTCTCCCAGTCTGTGCCAGTTGGTTCCCGGAGCCTCTCCCAAGGAAGGTGGCCTTTGAGTAATCGGACGAGCACGTATCCTAGGCTTTCCATGTCATCGCGGGGCGATTGCTCTAGATTTGATTATAAACCCTTTTCAATATGCAACAGAAGCGAAAGAGAGAAACATACGCTTCGCATAATGCGCCCGCCAACCAGCATATACCTCCGTCCCCTGCAAACCAAGGCCAACCTCAGGATTTCTCTCGCATTCACGCCTATCATGGCGCTCCCGCTTCAAGATCTGACAGTCACTCAGTGTACTATACCTCTTGACTAAACCCAAATCAGCCACATACACCATATTCGATTTCTCCCCAACTCCTATAAGCAGATTCTCTGGCTTAACATCTCGATGGACGCAGTTTCTCGAGTGAAGCTCCTGAAACCGACATATCAACTGATCTGCCAGCAAGAGCACCGTCTTTAGGGAGAATCTGCGCCCACAGTCTCGCCACAGATGGGCCAGGCTGGGCCCCAGGAGTTCAATGGCCGTGGCATGGTATCGTTGATCTTGTCCTGCCCAGTAGAACTTTGGGACTCCCATGAGTCCGGCCAGATAGCGGTACCCACTGACCTCGCGATGATACGATCTGTAGCCTGCTGGCTCGTGATAGAGCTTTATGGCTAGCTCTTTGCCGGTTTGGTGGTCTCTGGCTTGGAGAGCTGTCAGGTCTGTAGGCCTCGTTGTTGTTAAGCTGGGCTGTACCTATGTATACACTGCCTTCGCCGCCGCCAGCTATAGGGCGGATTAGCTCGAATCTGTCATTGATGAACCTTCTCTGCGGTGGAGTCTCTATTAGGAGGAGTTCTTGGATGTGGAAAGGCTAACATACCACTGGCAGCGGTGTCATAGCGGAAGGTTGATAGGTCCTTGCATGATTTGGTTTAGGTGCGAGATAGGGATGGGTACATACTTTATCATACCTGGCAAGGAGTAGGACTATGTCTCTTTGTTGAAACAGAATGGGCTTGTTATCCTGGAACGGACCTGTTCCCTCTTTATAGCGTGGTGCTTCAAAGCCCTCTGTGATACCGACTCAAAGAGCAATATTCTGTCTACTATTGCTATGGTCCTACAGAACGAGATTGCACACATAGAGCAAGAAATTGGCAAATGCCGAAGCAAACAGGTTCATATCGATTGCAACCGGAGGTAATCGACGAAGAAAACTCTCAGGACCAGCCTGATCAGTCGATAGGGGTGCATGATCCGCTCAGCGTGCGGTCTTCTGCTGCAACTCACTGCAGGCCAGCAGCTTCATATCATAAACGCAGTGCATAACCCCCGGCGCATAAGTCTTGACCTGTTCGACATGGCGACATTCCGCCGGTGCAACAGCATCCCGCATCCCAAGAGCTTCAGCCGCAACCTCCCAAACTCCGCCGCGATAACCCCTTTCTTCTGCTCGATCTTGCACACGTCCACATTCTCATGCACATGGACCCAACCCCCCAACTCCGCATCCACCATCCTACACGCATTCCCCCAAGCATCAACAGACGTCGGAAGAAGCCCTAAGTTGACATGACGAACGCAATTCCACTCCCCCTTCCCCTCCATAGCCCCACGAATCTCCCCCAAGATGTCCGCCGCAAACCGATTATCCCCATGAAAGAGAACGACCCGATCAGTATCCTTCAAACTGCCCACCACGTCCAGTAAATCCTCACTCAACCCTCCATCCTCCCGCACCCTAACAACCCTACACCCCCAGCCATTCTCCTCGCACCCACGTCGAAGCCCTTCAACCGACCAGCCATTAATCTCCCACCCCCAAACCCGTCTCACCCCCCGTTTCAAATACGAAAACACAAAATACCCGATGCCAGCATACATATCCACAACGCCCACATCCGAAACAGCCTGCCCACCCAACTGGGCCACTTCCAGCCCCTCAAACGGGGCCGCCCCCTGGCCCAAAACCCGCGCTTTCTCCGTGACGTTCCCGCGGGAGAACATCGTATAGAGCGGCGCCCAGGTCTGCACAATCCCGTGGTTCTGCATCGTGCGCACCCAGAACGCCCGTTCCAGGTCCTCGTCGCTCGGCTGGCCCTCTTCGCCAGCAGGAGAAGCAGCACTCGTAGCACTGGTAGTAGTAGCAGCAGGAGGCCCAAAGTCGCCGTACAGCGGGACGAGGCCAGCGGGACTGCGCATGCGGTTCTCATGGCCTTGCGTGTCTGTGAGCGCGATGGGCGCGTTGATGGCGATATGCGTTACGCCCATGCGGCTGAAGGCCTTTACGAGTGAAGCGTAGAGCCCCTGTTGCTGGAGGGCTGTTAGGGATTGGTACAGGGCGCTCCAGGCCGGGGGGCTGCTGAAGGCGTTCACGGGGAGGAGGAGCATGGGCTCGTAGACTGTGAAGCGTTTTGGGAGATTGGATTGTAGCGTCTCTGGTGAGAGGCCATATTGGGACAGTGTTTCTGGGGCGATGTTGTTGGTCACAAAGTCTTGGATGCCGATTTGGAGCGGGTTGAGGGTTTTGGGGGATGGCTTTTTGCTGCCTTTTCCATGGCGACTGGGCTTCTGGATGGTGGGGGGTTGTGATGGGGGTGTGGTTGTTTCTTGGTCCATTGTTGATATCGGTGTTAGGTTGGGTATTTGCTGAGTGTGGTATAAATATAGCATTGGGTGTATTTCTTGCTCCTTTTTATACGCAATTACTTTGCGGTTGCATGTTGTGTCTGTGTATATATATCGTTGGTCTTCAATGGAGGTGTCTTCTGGTTGGTAGCAGACACAATTTCCCCACCGATAGGCTGATAGCTCTGCAGAATTGCGAGCCCAAGAGACTCTGCCTTCTTGCCTCAATTGTATAGTTGCGTTCGCGGGATTTTGTTAATTATTACAGATATCGCCAATTTTTTGATGATATTTTCCACTTTTCACCACCTGTGTCATGTGACTTGCATCTACAATACGGTATGCAGGAAGAGAAGAAAAATAGTAGTTACGTAGGTCTCCTTCAATATCTTGACTACTTGGTGGACTTGTGCCCTCGTATCCGGCAAAGAAGTGCTGATCTCATAGATTCTTAGCACGTCTTTCCATCAAAGGAAAACCGCTATGCATTCTTGAGTGCATACATAGTACAACTTGCGAAGCCCTTGTAGAACTTACACGAGGCCCTTCCTCCACTGAAACAGAATGATATTAATGTATGACTCTTCGTCTTCATATTAGGATATATTGAGAATGTGAGGTGAAAGGAGTATGGCACTAAAGATAGTCCATGAGATGGCTGGGAATAACAGAAAGCAAGGAGAAACAGCCAACGCTAGAAATACATTGGATGCTTCAGAATGGGAAAGATGTGCGACTAGATGGATGATTTATTAAAGAAAGTAGAGAAAAATCAAACCCGCTGTTGTCAACAATAGTTACAAGGCACAACACCAGGAGGAATCGTAACGAAGGTAAGCTCTTAATGAGTAAGTAATATGGGGAAAGATGGTCAATATTCCGTCACGGAGTATCCTAACCTATCGTTTGCGTCCAGTACACTGGCAGTCAAATTAGCACTGTGAATGGGGGCCGAGCAACAAGGAGGACGTACGAGTATTGTTTGGTCAGGGTTCCTTCTCCTCCTTTCGAAAGATCGATGCTGAAAACGTAGAAGTTGCCATCGCTGGTCACCACCATCACTTGGGGCGTGTTGTTGCTCATTGCTACAACGCTTCGCAGAGGACCGGTGCTCCCATTACCCCCGGGGCCGGGACTCGACTTCGGAAGTTTGATCCAGGCAAAGTCTCGCGCTGGTTCCCACATCTCACTAACACCCTTTGGAAGGTAACCGCCCACCTTGGCGGCAAACGAGCTTCCAACAGTTTGTGAAGTTCGCCGAATCATGCCCATCAGAGTGCCATTGTGTTTCCTGGAAGGAAATTCGGAGGAGTCTTTGTCACCACCCATTTCATCCTCATCTGGAGAGTTACTCAGAGAGCTCTGGCTCATGGTTCTTTGGGGCGCCGAAGGGGATGGCAGAGAACTTTCCGAAGATTGGCCCTGGCTCAACTTGAACAGGTGTATGGTTTCGGTGGAGGATGAGACGCAAAGGAGGGTGGAGGTCGTGTTGAACGACATGCTGTAGATCCTGGAGGGTATCGAGCCTCGCCTGAATTGATATAATTTGTGACCGTCAGGTACGGAGAAGACCCGAATAATAGTCCCTTTATCAGAGGCGGTGGCTATCAGAGTACCATCACTGTTGAGCGTTATGCATGCGAGTGGAGATCGATGGGCTTCTATGACATTGATTGCTTCTAGCTTCAGTGTATCGAATATTAGGACCTCGCCGCTTGTAGGTGAAACATGTGTGTTCCCGGGGGGCGTGTGGGCTGGAGGAGTAAAGGACGTAGGCGGAGCTTTATGTGGAAGAGGATATGCGAGATAGCAATTATCAGAGGAGGGAGACAGAGCACAGATTGCTGAGAGATGTTAGAATCAGGGCTAAATCAAAGATGGTGAAGCATATGAACCCCTACCATTAGGATTTGGAGATGTCTCGATGGTATATAGCAGCTTCATGGTCTGGATGTCGTAGAGATAGATCTGGTCTTCTAGAACGATGACGAGCCGTTTCCGGTTCAGTTTAACCGCCAGGACAGTGGTGGGAAACGTCAACTCGCATATTGTGGATTGGCGCTATAAGGACCCGGAAGATGTTAGAATAGTTTCTTAAGGACATTAAAGTCCCAGGGAGTGAAACGCATTAGAGGCTGGATGGTTCAAATGACTTGATTCTTCATACGGGAGGCGATACGGTCCTTGATTTGCATGCGCAAGGGTTCTACGAACCTTTGTATTAGTGATTTGCAAGCGACGTGGTGAGAGAATCAACGCGACCAAAGATGTTGAAAATAGCATCTCGATTATAGCAATGTTCCCTTCCTTGGTCTCATAGCTCTTGGCGAAGGGGTCTGTTGTGAATATGCGAAACCCCTTGGCAGTCGCTGCAAGTCGTTAAGAAACATCCTGGGAAAGAATGAAATGACTTAAGGGAAGTGCTTACCCACAGCTAAGTAGCTGTAGTCCTGGTTGAAGGTCACGAAGTTCATTGCCATCTTGTCTGGAGGCGATCGAGTGGAGCGATGACGTTCAATCCAGTCCTCTTCTCTAAAGTGTACTGTATGGTTGGAACAGCGACAAAAACAGTATATATATCACCCAACGCTTTAAAATAATAGAGCGGCGAGACCGCCCTTCCTTTATTGAATCAATAAAACCTATTGTTCTTTGAGCGGAGGGGTACAACCGATCCCATCACAGGGCAGCTTCACGTCACAGACGATCGTCGCCGGACATCTCTCGTTCTCAAACGGCGTTCGCGACAAAGCTCCACGGTGAGTTATTCCATACAAGGCAAGTATGCACGGATGCGATCGCCGCTGGGCGAAGAAGACGTTGGGAAATAAACAAGTAAGTGGAGTCCGGGGGATCGCTGAACAGCAGTTCGTTCTGCCGCGGTCTGAATGCGTCAGGCGTCAGGCGCGGCAAGCGAGCCATTCATCAGACGCTCGGGCCACATCCTGTTCTTCGGCGGGTAAAAAAATATTAAAGCGGGCGCTATTTAACCCACAGATCAAATCCATACAACTTCCCTCTCCACAGTCCAGAGAGAAGGTCATTGCACTATGGGACCTACAAAGAAGCCAGCCATGGCTGGGGTTAACTCTAAGGCTGAGAGGGAAGCTGACTTAGTTATGGGGGTGAGTTTATATGAATCGCTGCGGCGCTGCGCACATCCCCACCAGTTGCTCGCCTAGTCTATCTGCGCCTAACTATACTAGACAAATAACAGCAGTATTGTCTCCAAACGGAGTGTCGAAATGCTCTACTACCCCAAGCCTCATTTCTTTCGCTACTTCGTCAAGAAACCCCAAAGACGATCGCCTCTGATCAATCGCGGATATTGGCTGCGCATGCATGCGATGGCGGAGACAGTGCGCAAGTTTATGAGAGAACCATCAGACAAACCTAAATTTGTCTTGAATCTGGGATGTGGATTGTGAGTCGTAGAAAAGTCCCCGGGAAGTCGGGCGATCAAAAAGGGGACCGTATACTAAGTTAGCTTGTCGTAGTGATCCCCTCCCATACATGCTTCTCAGCGCCGACAACGACCTGTGTAGAAACACGACCTTTGTGGATATCGACTACGAAAAGCTCATGGTCAATAAGAAGATGGCCATTCGCCAGACCGACGAGATTACACAACTACTTGAGGATGTAGAATTCCTACCCGACGATAGTCCGCTGCAGATTCGCAGCAAGCACTATCTGGCCATTGGGTGCGACCTGAAGAACCTCACCAAGTTGGACGACGTGCTTAGAGCAGAAGTCCTGCCTTCTGAATGCGCGGTTCTTTTCCTGGCCGAAGTCTCTCTGACGTACATGGACGTCAAGTCCGCCAATGCGGTTGTCAGCTGGGCTTCAAGGCTAAGCAATGGTCAGAATTATCCCTGTGCATGCTTGCCTGAACATACCGACGAATAAATGCTAACATGTTAAGAGAAGATGCTCAATTCTGTATATTGGAACAATTCTTCCCTGATGGCCCCGACCATCCTTTCGCTTCGACAATGATGAAACATTTTAAAAAGCTTGGAGCACCCTTATACTCGATCCACGAATATCCCTCCTTGAACGAACAGGAACAGCGTTTCAAAGACGCTGGCTGGAACCACGCACATGCTCGAAGCCTCTGGGACTTATGGTCGGATGATGAATTCGTGGGCGGCTCGTTGAGAGCATCACTTGATGCCATTGAACCTTTTGATGAGTGGGAAGAGTTTGCACTTTTTGGGTCTCATTATTTCCTTCTGAACGCGTCCACTAGGCCTCGGGTCTCGGATAAGGCCACAGGAACAGTAACCGGGCTTGATCCGCAGACGGATAAGTCTGGCCATTTCAGATTGCTCGCCAACTGCCCCCCTGGAAGTGGCCAAAGACGGTTCGGAGCTGTTCTTCCCGGTAGTGATAAGGCTGTTGGACATCACTCTGGACTCGGTCGTCAGACTCGTTCATCATCAACCGAACTATACACTAAGACAGAGGATATCACCAAAACTCATAAGTTCCCTCCCGGAGACATCCCTGCACGGATGTGCCATACAATCACTGGTTTAAGCAACCAGGATTGCCTTTTAGTTGGCGGCAGAGCTTCACCGGCATCCGGGTTCAAGGATTGTTGGGTCAGGCAAGGAAACCAATGGCGCTCGACTCAGAGCCTTCCGACCCCCCGATTCAGACATAGTGCTGTCAAAGTTACTCTTGATTGTGAATATGTTCTCATATATGGAGGTAAGACTAGCGATGGCACAACGTTAGACACTTGGTTGGCGTGGAGTAGTAAGCAACAAGACTGGCAACAAGTTGAGACCAACGGAACAAACATCAAGGCTCGATTTGGGGCTTGTCTGGGAAACCTTGACGACACTTCAGGTGTACTCTTTGGAGGAATTGGGGCCGAGGGAACTATTTTGGGGGATTTCTTCACATGGAAGTTGCACCGGCGGAGCGACGGGTCTTTATTCATGGAGTTGACCGACCACACTGAGGACTTGCAGAGAACCTCGTCCTTATTCAATCAAATCCATCGATTTGGAGCGACTGTCAATCAAACAGCGTGGGGACTAGTCATTGTTGGTGGTATTGTTCCTCGAGAAATTATTACACATGACAAGGAAATTATGCTTCTTAATTCGACAGAGTTAACTAAATGCATTGCCAGTAGGTGGCCCTCGAACCACGCCGTCATCTCGGCGTTAGGGCTCGGAAAAAGACTTGACGGCCCGAGACCCTTACTGGTAGGTCATGTCTCCTGTGCCATTGACCCTAAAGAGGTTTTGATATTGGGTGGTGGAGCTGTTTGTTTCTCATTTGGAACATACTGGACCGAGGGCACATGGCTTCTGCAGGACGTGGATTCGACTGCTGAGAATGACTGGACCTTGGTTCCAGAACCAGTGGAACCAAACAAGTCACTGTCGGAAAAAGCGACACCCAAGCCACCAGCGCAACCCCAGAACAAACCCTACGGGGCGGCGGAAGTGATTACACCAATCCCTCGCGTATGTGTCCAGAATTCCGCACAGTTTCAAGAAATTTTAGCTGAAGGCAGGCCGGTGATTATCGAAGGATCGGATATTGGCCCCTGCACAGAACTCTGGACCAAAGAATATTTGACAAGTGCCGTTGGTGGTGACCGCAAGGTAGGCCAGATAACCTAGATGGTGCTCTGTTGATTTCGAATACTAAGCAAACATGAAACTAGATCGTTGTGCATGAGGCACAATCGGGACATATGAGTTTCCAAACCAAGAATTTCTCATATACAACCAAAACATTCGGCACTTTCATGGACGAGGTGTATGCAGGCGATCGTCAGTATCTTCGAAGCATTTCTGCTGAACAGCCGACTAAACTACCTGCCAACCTGGCTGCGGATTTTCCAAGTCTAAGCCATGATTTTCGCCTTCCAGAGTCGCTCTCCATAGTAACTGATAACATTCACAGCTCGCCACTCAGGATATCAGGACCGGTCACCTTATGGCTTCATTACGACGTAAGTGTGAAGTGAGTTACATGACGTGGATGAACAGGAGCACTGATACTTATCTCGGCACAGGTGATGGCGAATGTCTTGTGTCAAATCCGTGGCGAGAAGCGACTCATACTCTTCCCACCGAGTGATGTGCAATACCTTCATGTGCCTCCTGGGGCCTCAAGCTCTACCATCAATATATTCCAAAGCAATGGGTCGGTCGCCTCAATTCCCCATACGTCGCCACAAGAAGCAGTCTTGAAGCGTGGCGATATCCTATTCATCCCTCCATTGTGGCTGCACACGGCATCTCCCACGGGTGATGTCAGTGTTGCTGTCAATGTATTCTTCCGTAATTTGTCTAAAGGGTATGCAGCTGGTCGGGATGTGTACGGGAACCGTGACCTGCAGGCCTACGAGAAGGCGAGGAATGATATCCAGAAGATGGCCAAATCCTTCGATGGGCTTCCAAGTGATATGGCCCGCTTCTATCTGCTGAGGCTCGCCCAAGAATTAAAAGACAAGGCAGAAAAATAAGTCACTTACCGTGTCAATCAGACACTGACAAGAAGTTGGATAAGATTTGAGATTTTGCCCTTAATGCCCAATCGCCCAGTAAAAAAAGACTCATATATGTGCTGCGCCAAGTAGCGTGGACCTCTGTTTTTGAATGCCCGGGCTCCACAGTTCGGGACTAATGCATTACTTCAACAATTGAGGAAAAGCGAGAAAGCTGGTGTCTACCCGGTTGAACCAGCTCATGCGACGACCACTCTGGCAATGCGAGAAGGTCGCTGCGAACCTCAGGTAAAGTGACCTTGATTTTCTACCCGGTAGTTCCAAGAGTATTACGTCTGGAGAAATGTAAGGAAGCGACCGAGGGTGCGGGTTCAATCATAGAAAAGCTAGTAAGTTTGATAGACATATCCGTGCATGGACGCGCCAGCATACTGTACAAAACACGTATAGACAGTTGTTGTCTGTGAGTCATGCCAATGCTTTGGGAGTAGGAAACGCGCATTGTATTAGTGCCATGTCACAAACATGCATTGCCCTTCTTCATATAGGATGAGAAACCCGAGGCTGCATGCTGACCCTAAGGAACGCCTGTTATTGTATTATTTACCTATCGGGTGAAGGTATGCGGCACTGTTCCTAGCCAGTGAGAAGGTGGAAGCCGACGATGGCAGAGTTTTAGGCACGTTGCGCAACGTCAGCATTTATTTATTCGTCGAAAGGGAACTGGTCGCGTGCCCAATCAGAGAGTTACGACCCGTTAGTGCTATAATCTATGGGCTTTCTGGCGATGAACCAGTGACACATTTCCTTGTCCCGTGCTGCAGGTGAGAAGATGCAGGTCCCGCTCCGAGGTTCAAAACCATCCGCCTTATTGTTTGGAGGTAAAGGTATTAGAATTAGGATAATTACCTTTAAAAAGTCAAAAACCAGATTGATATCTATTCTGCCACCAATCGGTACCTTTGATCCACCCCAAATCGGTAATAGTAGGGTGGGATAGAACGGGGATTATCAGATCTCAGCGTCATTCAAAGCATTTCCGACTCATGTGTTACTCGTTGAATAATCCGAGGGGGTGGGAAAGACGCATGACACAGCAGCACCATGGATCCATGCTTGATAGACATGGGTAGAAAATGGGAGGGAGACCATGCGGATGTCCAAAGCCAATAATCAAGACCGAGATCGAACCACTTCGTTTAGTGGCTCTGGAGAGGTCCGAGGAACGATCCCATTCGCTGGGATGGACAATCTTGCTCCTTTCCTTGTGTCGCCTTCAGATGGTCCAGAGCGTTGAAAGGGTCCGTCCTCCCGGTCTTATTGGACCTTACCCTTGAAGTGTTGGCGTCAGTACTTCGGGGGGTTCTCTTCGAGGTGGTGTGGGGGGGGAGGAGGGTGAAAAAGACTGATTATTTTTTTATTACTATTATCAAGGAAAATGGATTGTACGCCGTACCGGATGTAATCAGTGCGGGCACCCTTTCTTTTTTAGTTCATGCCTTAGGGAGGAGGCCTGAGATAGATTTGCAGATTGAAAGGGAACTGAACGGATCATGGGTGGAAGTATCATTGGCCGCAAACGGTAATACGGTTGTTATATGTTCTTTTTAGTAGGTCAAATCCCAATCCGATGTGGGGAACAGATGCCCGAAAAACAAGGAAGGCGACAACATTTATGATGAGGCAGAAACTACTACGTTCATTTTCAATGAGAAAAACTCTTAAAAGAGATATTAAATGATAGATGGGTTTATTTTTTTTTTCCTTCTATGATTGACAAGATAGTGAAAGAGAGAGGAATTATGTAGTTGAGGGGGGTAAATCCCGAGAAATAATCAAGAAATAATTAAGAAAAAAAAAGAAAAAGAAAACTTGATAGAGAATAAAAGATACCAAACAAACACACCCCATGCTCAGGCTCTCAAGAAACGGGGGCCCTAGTGTGGAAAGAGTTAGCCGTGAGTTACTAGGCTTTACCCCTCCCCACCCCCGTACTTAGTTTCTGCTTGCTTCCTGTGCGACAAGGTGAAAATATCCCCAAGCCGCCCGTCGACTATACTTAACCCGGGTTTTCATTTCCTATCCTTCTTCCTTCTTTCTCCTCATCCATCTTTTTTCTTCTTTCTATATTTGCCTTGCGCTTCTTCAATTCTTTCCTCCCGTGGTGTTTGTTATTAGAACCTATTGCAGACATTCTCCGGTACATATCATAGTTCCCTTATCGCTTGTGGGGCATTCCCTTATTACTGTGGGTATTATCCGGTCTCCTACGTAATATCCTCCCCTCCTTGTTGGGTGCGAGCCAATCCAACTGTCGATCCGATCACTTCAAGTCATGCTGCTCAATTCATCCACTGACTTTCATTTCACGCTCCTTCCTTAGGCCTGCTGAACCTTCTTGAAGCGTGCGACGTATGTTAGATTCCATTTCTGACTGCTGAGCCTCACAAAACACAAGATACTAAGCAAAACAAACATCACAGACAGTTCTCACGCATGTGGATACAATTGCATCTCGACCGATTTTGTAAAGGATGTGTCGTTGATCGATCGTCGCTCGGACTATCTGTATACACTCAACCTTAGCATCGGGCTTATATACTTATTTCCTTGCATTCGACATACATTTGATACGAATCTTATTCGAGCATCATGGCGACAGTCGTGGTACAGCAACAACAACAGACACTGCGGCACGCAACCCCCCCACCCACGGGGATTTCGCCAGCACTGAGTCTGAACAGAAACCCTTCGCCGATTCCAAACAAACATCTGCCTATCTGTCCGGCTGGTCCTACCCCAGTCATATCTCAAAATGCATCCCCGTTTCACAAGGAGGAAGTTACAGACCATACATCTTCCCTTCTATATCCACCAGATAACTATAAACAGCTGTCGAGCTCACCTGCGGTGTATTCGATAGATGCAGTGGGTTTAGAATCAGCCCTGGACCATTGGGCTTCCCAGCCGCTCCCAGACCCTAGCAAAGTCTTCCCATGGCTACACGGACTCCATCCCGAGAACCATCTACAGTTGGGGTTTTTCACAAACCGAAAACGCTCTCTTCGTCGGATCCCCAGAGTTTGGCGCGGCATCACTATTATCAAAGTTGGCGGGGATCTAATTAGCGGGAGGCTGAAAGGAGCAGTATCTCTGGACGAGGTCATTGCCCCATCAACTACAGAATTCCTTGCGGTCGATCCTCGGGAAGGGTTCTCTGTGCGCAACTTTCAGATTCAGACTGCGAAATTAGCTCCGCTGTCCGACATTGTCATCTATGGAGAGGATGGCGTTAACCGAAAACAACTACTAGACGTGGCAGGAAGAGTCGCAGCTGCACAACATCGTTGGAGAGCTAAGAATGATCTGGAACAGGTTTTACCGGTCTATAATACATTTATCCTCTCATGTAAGCGAAGACTTGTCGTTCACGTACATTTGAGTCGGGCGAGAACTAATCGTCAATAGCTACTTTTTCCGAAGTCGAGCAACGTGCCCCGAGCATCGTTGCCATTAACGCCCGCGGACAACTCACTGGCCAAACTATGGATTTCTGTAAGTAATTGACCCACCTTGTGACAGACCCAAGCCTGACAGAGGATAAGTTCAATGGGAACGGTGGGAAATGTGTGACATGTCCCGGGCTTCTCAGATTTCAACCAATGTCTGGCAAGGGCCAACTCCTGATTATCTATTAAGACCTGGGACTTGCGATTCTACCACTGGGGAGTATTTTGATCTTTTAATCGAGGCTAGCGACTTTGCGAGCCTCCCGGGCCCTCGATTCCTGGCGAAACTGAATAAGCAGCTTGATGATGGCCCCCAGCGGCTGGAGTTCCCTTCGTCTGGGTCTATTCTTCCGCCATCGGGTGATGATAGGGAGGTGGATGATCTCGTGAATACCGTGCGGTGGCTCTATTACTTAGCAAACCCAGACGAACCAGAAAGCCGGCCGGATGCCGACGGGGACATTGCCATGGGCCCTATTCCCAAGAAGCCTCGCAAGATACTTATCCACTGCCCAGATGGCTATACAGAAAGCTCACTGCTGGTCATTGCATACGTGATGTTTGCCGAGGGTGTAACGGCGCCTGACGCGTGGCTTAAACTTCACTGCGACCAGAAGCGGAACTTCTTTGCCTACCCGTCTGATGTCACGTTTCTAAGCGCAGTACAGGCGAGGTTATTGCACGAAAGTCCTGCGACACCAATAGGCAGCCTCACCGGGATCGCTGATCCTCACTGGTTCAAGTATTTCGATGGTTCGCTCCCCAGTCGGATTCTGCCATATATGTATCTCGGCAATCTATCACACGCAAATAACCCAGAAATGCTGTGGGCTCTTGGCATCAGACGTATTCTGAGTGTTGGCGAGTCGGTTACGTGGACCAATTCCGACGTGGCCAAGTTCGGTGCAGAAAATATTATGCACGTCACCCAGGTTCAAGACAATGGCATAGACCCATTAACTCAGGAACTTGAGCGTTGTTTGGATTTCATCCGTGAGTATCAGCTATCTGTCCCGTGAGGCTATCGCTCATAATAGAATATTAACTAACATGATGGCACTGTAGGCAAAGGGAAAAAGGATGGAATGGCTACGTTAGTCCATTGTCGAGTAGGGGTTTCGCGATCAGCGACCATCTGCATAGCAGAAGTTATGGCATCATTAAGCCTTTCGTTCCCAAGAGCATAGTAAGTAATTCTCCAAGACGCACTGGAAGACTTAGTTGACAGGAGCAGTTGTTTTGTTCGCGCTCGACGGCTTAATGTTATCATCCAGCCACATCTGCGCTTTGTGTAAGGCCCTCAAGTTCCCAATTCGTGCAGCTTACTTTCTGTCTCACCACATTGCCAATGCTTCAGCTAACGAAATCACGTAGCTACGAACTCCTGAAATGGGAAGAGCTGCAACTGCAGAGACAGAACAAGGCTCCAAAGAGAGCACTTGAATGGCCCACAGTGCTCGTGAAATTGCACTGATGAACAAACCATACTCGAGATAGGCAAACATAAAGCGATATCTTGTTCCCCGAGTGCGAATGATAATTTTCGCCTCATAGCATTACGGTACAGTTGGCCGTGATGCAGTGTTTTAACACCACTTGTCATGATACAGAAGTAATCTGGTTTTTGATAGCGATTGATATGTGTGGCATGAAAGATAAACGAAGGAAACGGCTGGACGAATCATGGAAAATCTGGGTCACTTTTATTTTTCCTTTCTTTTTGGGCGTTTAAAGGATGCGATCAACTCGAATGATGTTACGTCTTGCAATGCATGCTACGATATGCTTGTCATGTATATAATCATGCCTTTCTGGTCGGCGTTTGCCGCATAATAATAACCTTCGGCTGAATTGGCTATTTGTATACTGTGCTTACCCAAGGCAGACGATTATCCGGATTCCCCTTGATATCATTTCATTGCGTTCCGATCCATCTTCGACCAGCCGTTCTCACTTCGGAGTTTCCTTGGCGTCTTAAAAAGGAACGATATATTTCCATTTCCTCTTTGTGTCTTTGTTTCTCTCTAAAAGCGTTGGGGGTCTGACCTGCCCAAATGTGGACATACGATTTGGTATAGTATGAGGGCATCTGACGAGGATAGTTTTCGCCCATGTACTTGCGAGTCTTCTGGCACAATACAAATCCTCTACGTGGTTATGGTATGGATGTGATCACAGGCTAAATGGATAGTAGTAGATGCCTGCTGATAAGTCTTCACAAAATCAACACCGTTCAAAGACACGATATAGACCCTTCAAATCAGCTACTTCAACAACTCCCCGAAGGAGTCGGTTCGTAGCAACTAGGCGAGACCGAAGCGCCGGGAAAACCACATATTCCAGCATCCGAGCTATCTGTAACCGACGATTCCTAATGAGTTCATCTTCCATATCCACATTCGGGGATTCCTTGTTTTCGTCATTTTCTACTGGTGGCGGAGGGGGCGGCAATTGCTCTGGCGTGTAGAACGCCGCAAGCTCCCGCAAGAATGTGCGGAAACAGTCTTCCTCACTTGTCCAGTCGACATAGGGGCCAAGCCGAAGGAGGAACCGGGGTAGCTTTCCCAGACACGGGAGATAGCCTTTGAGTAAAAGCGGAAGGGAGAGGAGTTCACCTGCTGCAGAGATTTCGAGCGAGAAATACTCATTGAGCATCTCGCGCCTGTCTATGAGTGCTCTGGCGACTAGGTCTGGCGCGTTGTCGAAGATTTCATTTTTCTCGCTTTCTTCGCTTGAATTTGCTTTTCTGCCGCTGGAGGCTTCTCGTTCGGCTTCAGCTGCGATCTGGAGGAGATCGATGAGCTTAGGTGCTGGGTCTAGTCTTATGACGCCGAAGTTTCCGAAGTCTGTGAGTCCAATTTGGTAGAAGAATTCGTTGCAGAACATCCCGTAGTCGACGAGGTAGAGTTTCACTCCTGATTGGATGGCTGTTATGCGTCGTCGCTCATCGACAATTCCTACGTACGTGTGGGAGGCGATTGTTTCCGTCAGGGTGTTGTGCATTGCGTTGCGGACGCTTGCACGTAGGTTCTTCACGGATGTGAGGGCGATCCGAAGTGGCTCGCGGTCAGTGGTTTCGTATTGCAGTCCTTGGTCTAGAACGCTAGAGGTTGTTTCCACTTCTGTAGTATTGAGAACTGCGGGTGGCAGCATGGAGGTGATTTTGCGCACTTTGGAGTCTGTGCGGACCAGATTATGTTCGTATGGCTTCTTCGTTGTTGCTGGCGTTTTAGGAGTACGGTCTTCAGCGTCTGTTGACTCGGGGTCGTGAGGCGCCGGTTCCATCGTTCTAACACCAGGAAGAAGAGTCTGCGTCAAGAACGTTCGGCTTGAGTCGACCTGGGTAAGTTTTGACTTGATCTCCTGGCATATACACTCGATGATCTCATCTTCGTTTAAAAAATTGACTTCACGCTTTGTTGGATGAACATTTACGTCCACGCGGTGCGGTTCAATTTCCAGGTCGATATAGGCAAATGGGTGTCCGCCTTTGGGTAAGAAACTAGAGTAGGTTTGCTCGATTGCTCGTTTTACTGCCGTGGACTCCACAGAGCGGTGGTTGATGAATAGAAGGATAACGGTGCGTTTAACATGGTAATTCGCGTTTGTGACATAGCCAGAAGAGCGAAATCCTAGCTTTTGGTCCTCTGCCTTGAATTCGACGAGTTCGTTGGCCACTGCGCTTCCATGGATCTGACGTATTCTGTCGATAGTGTTGGCAGCTACCGGCGTTGAGATGCTTACGCCAGAGTCACCGTGTTTGCGACAGGAGAAGGCCACGCCAGAGCAATGTACGGCGTAACGGCCAACAACATCCAGTATCTTGGCATACTCCTCACTCGCTGAACGGAATGCTCGCCGCCTCGTTGGAACATTGTAGAAAAGGTCCTCGACCTGATCAAATTGGTCAAAGTCGCACCAGCTATTAAAGTTGGGGTTCCACTCACAGCTATTTGAGTGCCACCTCGTCCAGCTGTGGCCTTGGGGGCAGCCGGCTGCCCAGGCTTTGGAGGGATAAGCTTTCCATCACTGTAATGTGCTCTCCAAGCACAACTTGAGCCAGCGGTTTTGGTGGTTACGGTGAGATGAGCTATATGGCTGATACTGGCTAATGCCTCGCCTCGAAAACCGTATGTACCAATGGATGATAAATCCTCGAACTGCTTTAACTTCGAGGTGGTGAACCTTTCACAAAGAATGGGCAGATCATCCCGCTTTGTTAGATTAGTGACTTCGTTGCGTTACCAATGTTGGCGGATTTGACTCACGTCTATGCCGTGGCCATTGTCTGTGATCTGCAGCAGTTTCAGTCCACCATCCTTTACTAGAATTTCGAGGGATGTGGAGCCAGCATCAACTGCATTCTCGATTAATTCTTTCAGAGCGTGCATAGGGGCTACTATGATCTCTCCAGCGGCGATTTTATTCACAACATCTGGATCAAGTGCCTAGTTGCGTAATTAGTTGGATATGTTGAGACGCGACTTAGGCTGTTGGAACTGACTCTGATTCTTTTAGGGGTTTTCGACGCTTCAACTTCTTCAGCTGCCCGTTTAATGCCACGAGCTCCGGAGCATCCACGTCCATTTCAGGATCCATGGTTCTCGAATGGAGTTGTACTTATCGATAAGTTCTATTGTTGTCTATCAGCTCGGCTCTCCTCAATTGGCTTAGGTAGCAAACGCCGCGCGCACCGATGAGATAAATACTAGTAGGAGACTATGGCCTTGACGCGACGTGGGCTTGGCGATTAGTGATATTTCTGCTGACTCAAAACCAATGTTTCCTATTCAAGTCCGTCTGTTGTTTAAAAGGATTAATAACCATTGAGCCGATCACGTTGGAAACAAAGCGGTGGAGTAAATCATGTGTCAGTTCTGGAGTTAAGAAGCCGTTTAATTTAATTTATTTGTCGCGGAATCCCGCAACCGAACTATGCGCAACCGCCCCTACTTTAATCTGATGTCAATAACCAAACATCTCCCCTTCTTCTCTACATCTCCACAGTCAAATGCCACACTTGAATCTAACAGCTCCCCCGGAGCTATTATATACATGCGCAAACTATGCTAACTACCAAGAGGCCGTTTCTGGCTGATGAAGAGTTGGGGAAGAAGGACGACGACCATCGACCACGGAAGCCTTCGCATTTTTGGCGCACGTCAAGACAATGGAAGCCACCACGACTGCGGCGAATCGTACTAGGAGTTGCCGTATTGTATATGTTCTATGTCTTCTTTAGAAATATGCCTACCGATCTTTCGCCTGCCCCCGAGCGGTTTAACCCTGCACTTGCAGAAACGCGACAGAAAGCTGGAATGTCATGGTCCCCTCCCACACCATCGTCCGCCATCCCTCAACGGGGTCCTCCACCACGGGACGAGTTTGCGCCTGAAGGGAATCTTTACTATGAGGGAAGCATTCTCTTCCACTCGCTTGGTCAAACTTTGTATAGGTTTCGCAAATTCCCCGGTGCCCATGGATTGCCTGCCAGTCGTGCAGTTGTCTTTGCTGGCGCAAGTCTCAAAAGCATCTCGGATCTTCTCCCTCTCGCCTGTAAAATGGCTTATCAAAGGGCCAGTGAGGTTCATCTTGTGCTCATGGGGAGGGATGACGTCTCGATTGAAGGAATCCAGCATGTAAATGGCATCGATGATAGCGACTGTCCCATCCATTGGCATGGTATGTTTAGACAATACTCTCGCAGTATCTGAAACAATGTGCTGAGACTAGGCTTGTAGATGGTCGGGTAGATTATGCGCAGTGGTCAACGGATGCTCGCATGGAGAGGGCTGTTGCAGCCGGGTTAGCTTACGTGCAAGCTTATCTATCTCCCCAAGCGGTGATCACACAAGGCGAGTCTTTGGAAGAAGTGTTTTTCTTACGAGGTATTGAGAAGAAGGCCCGAGAGCTCAGGACCGCCCATATTGTGCTTCCCACCGCTGCTAGGGATATTATGTGGATGTCTTCCTTGGATAGCCACTCCCTTCAAGGTATTTATATAGATCGATTTTCACAA